GGTGACGCATTAATGCATGTAAATTAACACATTAATGTGTGTATGAGTGTGTCTCAATGTGTGTATGTGTGTGTATATATATATATATATATATATATATATATATATATATATATACACATATATACTATTCACTGGTAAGTATGTGAATACGCATGTGTACATGTATTTAAAAAAAATTTCTTCTGGATGTATTTAATTTTTTACCCCCGCCCCATGCATGGATTAACATATAGATTATCACAATTCCCAACCAAAACGCTTTCTTCAGCCATATATATTGCAACGTTGAGTTGATGTAACTTCATCCCCCCTCCCCAGTCAACCCGACGGTGATTGCTTTAAACTGTGCTCAGATAATACTAACGATTTGTATCTATATTCGGTTATAAATACAGCTGGATTTTGCATGTTTTCTTTATCATTAGCAGGTTTACGTAATGGCATCACCAATCTCCCCTCCCCCCATCCACCGATTTCGGGATTCTTCCACTTTGTTCTTAAAAGACTAGTTGATTCACTCTAATTAATCATTTAATTAAGTGAAATTATCATTGTTCTGTATATATTTTGCTATTTTTCTCCTCGGTATCTCCCCCTCTAAATGGTGTCACGCGGTGCGGTCCATACCCACCCCCACCCTTTCTAGACGCTTATGCATACAGATTTTCTCATTATTTAATCTTATATTAAAAGTTTTACCTTAATGAAAGGTCAAGAGATTTTACAACCACTCTGTTTCTTGTTAAATACAAATCAGTTGGGTAAAACTTTTCTATATGTTTAGGTAGTTCTATTTTCTTTATCACACAGGAGACGTGAAAAGTCTCGTGGGACATCGTTACCAGATGAAATTCCGCTGTAGCTGAGATGTATCGCGGTACCCCCAGAATAAAATAACTACCATATGTACCTGCTGGTGAATGAAAAGGGCAACATAATATCCACAAACTAATACCATAAATACAGCAAATAATTATATATTTTAATACAATATATTTTCAATGGTAGATTATTTTCTGTGTGACTAAATTTCGATATATTGGTGACTTCTTAAATTATGTAAAATATCGTTTGACATTTCTTCTCTACATCTGGCCATTTTCTACTTCAGTATAATAATAATCTTTATATATGATATATTTGATTTGTGATTTTTCTATATTGAAATTAAGCTTTATTTCACAAATTTTACATCACACTAAAAAGATGTAATTAAAAGAATAATACCTCCATGTATAATTACCAATTGTTGTGTTAAAGTTGTCAAAATAAATACTAATTGATAAAGGAGCTGTAAATAAATATAAAAATATTGGTACATTAAATAAAATCATTTCAGTTCTATTGCATGAACTGAACAACATAGGCCACCCTAATTAGAGAACGCAAGGCTACATACTCAAGGCGTTAAAAAAAGTGGCATTTGCTCTATACCCAATCGACTAATTTCTCTATCGTAAGTCAGATACCCATCAGAGCTGGATTGACTCTGGGGCGCCCTCTGGACTCGAACCCCGGATCCGATATTAACTTCCGGAATAACAGACATGTGCAGTCGATTTTTAATGCTTGGAAATGAGGAGGGGGAGTAACAAAAACTATGACAATGCTTAAAGATAGCTCTAAAGCACATGTACCGTATTAAAAAAAAATAATTATTGTGTTAAATGATCCAGATATTCTAGATATTTTTAACCAACTTGCATAAATACAAAACAAAGTACTGAACTGTAGCTCATCAAGTGAGATCGGCACACACTACACAAGTCGCTGTTTGTCATGAATGCTAACATTGCGACACGTAGATGTATTCAAATTTATTTTTAGTTCTCCTTATGGTCAAACGTTTTAGTGAAAACTACGAGTAGTTTGGTTTGGAAATGTTAAAATAATTGTTTTTATCTATTTTTTTAATAAAGTAAGGTACAAAACATAAGGCGTCACACTCAAACGAGAACACAAGTTCCATGTCATTTTATTTCGTATTATATAGGTAACTAGACTAGGTCTATGTAAGTCTAGATATACTCTAGAATCTTGATATCGATATAGATCTAGGTCTAATATAATGTATTAGATCGCTGTTTATTATTTAGAGTTAGACAGACATAAAAGTTAAAAAGGAAGTACATAATTTTAAAACTGTCTTGTAACGTCAAACTTAATAAGACAATAATTAATATTAATAATTTAATATGCACCAATACATAGATATACCTCCATTTCAAAAGACCGTTGGTAAACAGTTTGTTTATTTAAGTTAATAAACCAAGTTGACTACTGTCAATGTCAGCCATTTTGTATACGCACCTTGATCCAGTGTCATAAATCTATATAGTTGTTTTTTTCGCACCTAAATTGACGCGCATGATAAAAACTGGATAGCTATCACCTTGTCACTCTCTTGTTTTACAATCTGAACTATCGTTGGGTATCTTTTATTGTACGTTATTCTAATTCCAAAAGACACTTGCCCAAATGCTGTTTGCACAAAGGCCTGTTTTCCTAAATAAATACTTGTCCGAATGCGATATTTACCCGAATGGACACTTGCCCGAATACGACAAATGCAGGAATGGACAAATACAGACATGACTTACTTTGAAACGAATCATAAGTAAAGGGCTGCAGCTAAAACTCTCAAAAAGGAAGGTTTATTGGATTGTCACATTTTTCAATGTCTTAATGAAGGACTGTATCCTGCTGTTTGATTTCGTAACCGGACTAACGGTAGATTTACACAATAAATGCAAGAGTATGTTGCACAACTGGTAACTCAATTTTCACCAAATTCTACCGCATTCCTTTACAATGACAATGTAATAATATATTATTTTCAATACAGTACTGCCATGTTAGTTAAATAATAAATTTTAAAACGTACAGGTCTTGTGAATTTTTTTTGAAAACTACTATACTTATAAGTTTTAAGTAAATGATATGAAATGAAAATTCTTTTTTTATCAATTTTGTTTTATAACAAACATTTTTGTACAAAATCACGATCAGACAGTAACACAAAATCGTGCCGAAATTTTAATAAAATGTTAGATAGTACTTATCCTTCTTAAGATCATACAGTGACACTTCACACATGATCAGATTCAAAATATTTTTAAAAAAAAAATTATTTTTGACACACGACTCTAACATCAACGGTACAAGTAATGGTAAAAAAATTATAGACATTATATAAGTACATTTTTATAATTTAAAACTTGCGTTTGGTCAATTATTATAGACATTATATGACTACATTTTTATAATTTAAAACTTGTGTTTCGTCAAATATTATTATTATTACATTTTTTTCATAATTTTAAAACTTGTAATTGGTCAAATATTACAGAGATGATGTATGGCCCCAGACTTTAAACTTTTAAAACCTGTGTGTGTTTAGTCAAACATTATAGACTTGATATGTCTGGTTGCAACCCTTAAACTTTTTAAACGTGTTTGCATACCAAAACTTTCTTCGTAACGGTAGCAAAATAAATATACAATGCACAGATAGTTCAAGACGTTATCTTTATTTTAATTTTTTTATGAAAAAGGATATTTAATAATAATTGTGGACTGATTGATGCTATTGCAGTGCAGCAACAACTGCAAATGTCCTGTCCCAAGAATACATTATACGTATATATATGCAATTCACTCTTGTTATACCATATCGCTACTTAAACATAATTTAGGCGTACGTTTAACACATTAAAACATAAAAATAAACACACGAATGGACATCATGAGAATAATGCTTGTGCTTCTTAAAGAAATATCTCAAACACAAAAAAAGTTATGTGTTTAGAATGATTATATTTCCCTTTCTGCTTTTTTGTTTTCATATATATATATACATATAATATAGATTTATATGTTTATTCATTTAACTATACGACGACGAAATCATTAAATTTATCTCCTAGTAGACCGTATTAAGCACTCAGTTTCGATTTGTTTTGTGACTGTGTATTCTTTAGAAGACACAGTTTTATTGCAACAAAAACGTTTAACATACTGAAACAAAAAAAATTCATAAAAAACATTTTAATAACAAGCTTTTATAAAATAATGAACTAAAAGGGAGAAAATGAATTATACACTACTATTTAAATAACTATGAAGAAAAACGTGGTTCACTTTATTATCTATTGGATAACTTTACTTATATGCAGGAAAAGACCCACGCTTTTCTTTATAGTTATTTAAATAGTAGTGTATAATTTATTTTCTCCTTTTAGTACATTATTACATAAAAGCTTGTTATTAAAACGCTTTTTATGAATTTTTTTTTAGTACTTGACATGTTTTTATTTACAATAGAGTTACATGACTAAAAACCATTGCGCACCAATTGAACGCGATGACGCGCTTTTGAACGTGATGACGCCTTTGGATTGTTGGATAGGTCTGCCTACTAATTTGGTCAAATTTTAAATTAATTTATAAACAATTAATCAGGCGACCAATTAAGTCAAATTGAATGTCATGATGCATTTTCTTCATGTCTTGACCCACGTACCAATTACGAACCATATCTGTTAGTTAGAAGTGCTTGTGATTTCGCTCGGACGTTTCGATCTAGACAGACAGACCGACGAGGAAGTGAGTTAAATAAAAGCTTACAAAAAAATTTCATAAAAAAAAACCTTTGAGTAACAAACTTATATGTAATAATGCACTAAAAAGGAGAAAATAAAGTATACACTTCTATTTAAATAACAATAAAGAAAAGCGGGTGTCACTTTAGTTTCTTTTTGATGCCTTTACTAATATTTAGGAAGAGACCCACGCTTTTCTTTATAGTTATTTAAATAGTAGTATATATTTTAATTTCTCCTTTTTATTGCATTATTACATAAAAGCTTGTTATTAAAACGTTTTTTCATGACATTTTGTTTAGTACTTTACATGTTTTTATTTACAATAGAGTTACATGACTAAAAACCATTGCGCGTCTACTGAACGCGATGACGCTTGTGGAGTAGTTGGATAGAACTGCTTACTAATTAGGTCAAAATTTTAATTATTTCATAAAAAAAATTAGACATCGAATTGAGTCAAATTTAATGTCATGTTGCATTGTCTTCATGTCTTGAACCACGTTTCAACTACGAACCGTATCTGTCAGGTAGAAGTGTAGATCTAGACAGACAGACAGGCAGACTGACGAGGAAGTGAGTTAAATAAAAGCTTGTAAAAATAAAAACACGAATGGACATCATGAGAATAATGCCTGTGCTTCAAAAAGAAATGTTTTAAACACAAAACAGATTCTGTGTTTAAAATGAACTTTATCTCCTTGTAAACCATGATTAGACATCAGTCTCTATTTGTTCTGTGACCGTGTATTCTTTAGAAGACACACGCTTTACGGTCACAACTACATCTGGCTTCTTCTCCAAGCGTAGCCTGTAGAAATTAGAAAATTGTAGTATTTTTATCAGTTGAATATAGGTTTAATATTTATAAATGCATAATAAGTTTAAATCTAAATTTAAAAAGAAAAAACACAGAAAACATTTAATGCTACACATGAAACCTACCTACTTATACAGAAACCACATAAGGTCCCCAAAATCAAAATGAGGAATATGTAGTACACAACAGCTGATAAACCCACATCGTATACTGTAAAAACATAAACCCTTTTTAAAATAATTTTACACACGCATGTATCGAACTAAAATGAATACACATACAAATGCAACGTATGTGCACTGAAGAACAATGACATACTTGCAGGACATATTCCTTGCACTCGTTCAATGCAGTCTCGTCCATTACACTTCTCGAGACATGAATGATTACACGCGAGACCGTAGGTCATTTCAGGGCAAGCTGGGAAATAATTACATCATGTTAGATTAAGCGCCTTTGTTATACCTAAACGAATATTGTGGCGATATACTAAAAATATTTTAGCCGGAAAAAGATATGCATTCGCAATGGAGAGAAACTAACGCCTCCTTTTGCGGGGATGATTTTGATGGTTCTTCGCATGCGTGAGTTAAACAAATCGCAGAACCGTAAAACTAACCCTAAACCTCACCCTACCATAACCCTAACATTAACACTATCCCTAACCCTAGAGAAGCTATTAAGGTCTCAAAGCATGTGCAGAACAATTGAGTTTCGTACTTTCTGCGAAAAATCTTTTTCCGAGGAGTCACTTCTAAAAAAATATTTTATATATACGAGAAAGTAAAAAAATGGTTTGCCTACTAGACAGAATACTTACGTGTTGTACATTTTTCTCCCGTCCACCCATTTAAACACGGCTGACACTTTCCTGTAATTAGATTACATGTTCCTGTTCCTGCACAACGTCCACATGAAATCTCACAGTAGCGTCCATACTTTCCAACCGGGCAAGGTGCTAAAGGTAAACATATGACAATTCTTTTGTTCCGCAGTGTTCATTGTTTATTGTAGGCCTACTCGATCACTTCAAGTAGGCTACTTTCTATTCCAAAAAACAAAAACATTAACTAAATATTATTGACGATGATTTTGACACCTGTTTTCGTCGTTCATTTTGAAGATAATTTCAAGTAAATATCAAAATTTGTTATATTTGAATAGCTGACCAGGCTACATTCTATTACATTTTTAAAAAAAAATATTTATCAACAAAATAATTATCCAGGATAATAATTAAATTAGTTTGTGTTATTAAGCCATGGGTATAATGTGATATTTATTTAGTCTCATTTTATAGCAAAGTACTTGTGGATACTGTAATCGTATGAGTATTTAATTATTTCGCCTCTGGTCGGTAGTCAAAATAGTGTGAATATGTTGTAAACAATATTACCAAAATAGGCCTACTGGTAAATCGGGGCTATATTGGCACTGATTAGGAAACAAGGTGAATTGAAAGCTTGTTGACATTGCCATAATAAATATGTTTATAGTGTATGTTTCAATGAAAAGAGATTAGTTTAAAGAATTTCAATTTGTTTCAAATTTTATTAAACATCGTTTTAAAGTGTATAAAGTGTGGTCGTATAAAATAAAAACGTGAGTAGAATTGAAAACTTATGTTACAAAAACTTGTGAGCTTATATAACTAACCGCCCTGTCCTTAGATTGAACTTAATTGTTGTTAGTAGATATTATTACAACCGGTTTGTAGTTTAGTAACTATCTGAATAATGCGCAACCTTAAGTTGCGTAAATAGAAAAAAGCACGAACAGAATTTGAAAATATTTTTATTTGGCCATATTTCGCGGAATTTTTTTTAAACACTAACTAATAATAAACCGGGAATGATCTCCCCTAAACTTTCTCGAATATTCTTATATAAAACAACGGGAGATGGGAACTCGAGCTATAGACATGATTTTTAATCAATTTTAAATACTCAAAGTTTTAAAAATAGAATAAAATCTCGTAGACAGAAGAATTGCACACCAAGTGAACGCCAAATAAAAAAGTGCATAATAGTGCGCAATATTATTAGTACTTAAAAAATTTACATTAGTTTTTTGAGAAATCGGAAGTAGCGTAAATTGCTACTTCCCGTCAACGGAAATCACTCAAAATTTACCAGAAGGTAGAGAATTAGATCTTATACTTACATGTGAAATTTCATTTATCTATCTGAAATAGTACTCAAGTTATAGGCTTTTAAAAAATTCAAAGTAGAAAAAGTACCACTTCCGGTTATCTGAAATCGCTCAAAAGTTGATACGGATTTACGATTTTGATAAAATACTTATATATGAAATTTCATCAACCTAGCTGTAACGGTCCTCAAGTAATCGTGTTTACACACAGACACACACACAGACAGACAGACACACAAACATACGGACAGTTTTTCAGACTGGATTACGCATAAAACCTCTTAACTTTGATAAATCTGGATTGATAATTTTTGCCCGATTAAAATAAGTTCTCTATACTTCGGATGTGATGAAGGACTGAGGTGTAATACGGTGAAAATTGTTAAAATTTCAAGTGATTTTTGTGCACGATTACAATACTTTCTCTATACTTCGTATATAGGAGAAAGTAAAAAATGGGTCTTCTTAGATATTATTTTAAAATTATCCGTGTATTTTTCGTGGCACGATGACATCCACAGGAGTGAGGGGTGGTTGGGTGGTACGGGGTTGAACTGAGTAAGATTAGAAAGAAAAAGCGCGCTGTATAAACAAATGTGACATCACATTTTTTTCCAATTTTTAAAGTAGTTTTTATAATGAGTCATATCGTTTCCTTCATTTTAAATTACTATTTCTGCTCGAATTACAATTAAAAAAAATTTTAAAAATTTTAATACGGAGCCACGGCATTTAATAATTTAGGAAGTAACTTGCGTTTCGAAAGAGACAAACAAACTGCTATTTAAGATAGAGATTGTGTTAAAGGTGACATCTATCTTAGCATGGAATTTAAAAAGTGTTACGCTATGGAGTAAGTGTAAATGTCTAAAATTTTCTAAGAATGATACAAAGCACTACACACTCATCATACAGACTCGACATTTCTCATTGTTACTCTCTTCCGCATATCCCATACATCTCATCCCTTCGTATTGTGGCGCTGGGTTTTCACACAATCGACTGGAAAAAAATGTTTTTTTTTTTACATAAATTGACTAAAAATAAAATTGATTGTTTTCGCACGATAGAATGAATTTTTTTTTATTCACGTTTCATTTTAAAAACATGTTTTTTTTCACATAGACGACTGAAAAAAGTTGTTTTTCCCCATAACAAATGTTTTGTTTAATATAATAATACAATCAAAATCAAGTTATGTTTTAAAGATATAAAAAAAATTATGCATATGTTCAAATAATCAGCTTTAAGGATCATTAAACATATATTAGTTTTACACAACTTCAGAACAGTCATACACATGAAAAAGTTAATGTATTCTGCTTAAAAAAATATTCACAATCAAAACATGCTTAACAATAATAAATGAAAAACAAAAGGTTATTTTCGTAGTTATGAAATAAAAAGAACGTTACAAATCGTGCACCAAAATAAAATAATAGTGAAGTCCAGTATTTCGTTTTTATGTTACTCATTAAAACAGCTACATGGAAAAACGAGTTAAAATCAATACGGCGTGGGCTATCATATTCTATAAATATCCCAGATAACACATCATAGGGTCGTTGTTCTAGTACTCTTTTACAACATATAACGTGCATCCTTTAAACTACAATCATTACCTTCTCTTCGAAAATGTTTCGTTACACTCTAAACAGATAAATTCACTCCATTCACCCCATCCTCCGTCCTCTAAAACAAACAGTACTTTAATCAATTTGTTTCTGATTTGCATTTTAAAGACATAAATCTTATTTAAATATATATATACATACATATATATATATATATATATATATATATATATATATATATATATATATATATATATATATATATATATATATATATATATAAAGAGCTTTGGCGTGGTATATTTTTATACTGTCAAATGCATATTTATTTTTAATCAAACACACATTGTTTAATTTAATACGTTAAATATTTACCGTTTGTTTAATCGAATACGTTAAATATTTACAAACCTGCTTTTCCTCTTGTTACATCCTCTCCTATCTTATTATCTCCGTCTAGGTTTTCATCTGTCAGCACATTCAAATACAGTTTCAATTTTGTAAAAATAATATTTGAATGAGAAAAATTAAATTAAGCATCCACGGGTAATTTATTTATCGGTATACTGTACACCAGGGGTTTTCAACCCTGTGCCCGCGGGCGCCATGGCGCCCGCTGAACGATTCGTACGTGCCGCCTCTCACTATTCGACAGAGACAGAATTTTTTTCATAAACATTTATTTTTATTACAGTTTTAATTTTTTTTTTTGACTGCCTAGGTTTATTAAATATGTTCGATACTTGTCCCAACTTGCCTAGCGGCGAGCCAGACTGCACTATTTACTTTTGGAATACAGTAAATAGAGAAAAGTTCGCATTGTTGAAAAAAGCGGCATATAAAATTAAATCATTTTTCTGTTCGACATATTTATATGCGAACCATTGTTTTCAAACATGAACTTAATAAAATCAAGATATAGATCTCGACTCACAGATAAGCATCTTTATGATTGTCTGCTTACAGGATTATCGTCATACGCCCGTAATTTTGAAGCTCTGGCCAATGAAATGCAATGCCAAAGATCACATTGACTCTATTATATTTTTTAATTAAATGTTTTCTTTGTATTTATGTGTTTTGTTTACTTTCTTTACGTTTTGTAAATACATTTCTCTGTGTGTGTGTGCAATTTGAAAAAAATGCAAAATAATTTTATATTATTTTAAAAAAAAAATGTTTATTATTTATTAATACATTATGACTATAAGAAAAAAAGAAAATAAATTATAGGCAATTGACAATTTATGGAAGGAGCAGAGGCGTAGCGAGGGGTGAACGGGGGGTGCAGACCGCACCGGGTGACACCATTTAGGGGGGGGGGGGGGTGACACCAAGGCAAAAAATAGTAAAATATATAGAGCAAAATTTGAGGGGGGGGGATGCAAATCAAAAGTTTGAAGGGGTGGGGGGTGCAAATCGAAAAATGAAAGTTTGTCCCTGTAAAGAGTCGCTACGCCTCTGAGGGGGTGACACCATTAAGTGCCACACTGGGTGACACCTTACCTCGCTACGCCACTGGAAAGGAGTTTGTCAATTTAAAATAGGTGGTGCCCGCCACCCTACCGATATTTTAGAATGTGCTCTAGAGTAAAAAAAAAGGTTGGGAATCCCTTCTGTAGACTAACTATTTAATTTATAAAGTGATACGTTCTTAAATTCTATAAATTTTAACAAATAATAAACAATTAAAGAATATTTTATGGCATATGATTTTTTCAGAACGCACTCAGGCAATACATTCATCATGTAAACGTTAACGCTCTGGTTAACTGATAGGTTATCAGCCCAAGAAAAGTGACCTCTGCCCTATACAAACTCCAAAAATGTTTTCTTTATTTTCAATCCACATACATCGTAGTCATTTTTCGAAGAGGCTCTAACATCTAGACATATAGACATGACAACATGTCTATATGAAGACATATGGACAGACATCAAGACATCTAGACATTTAGATAGATAGGCATCTAGACATCTAAACACATACACATATAGACATACATATATCTAGACATATAAACATCTAGAAAGACATCTAGATATCTAGACATATAAACATATAGATATGTAGATATCTAAATATCTAGACATCTAGACGTATAGACAGACATATTGAAAGACATATTGACAGATATATGGAAATACATTAATATACAAATAGACAGACATCTAGACATATTACTTCACAAAATACATATTTCGAGATTTCTGACTGAATTTTAGACCTCTAGATATCATACGTCACCAGAGGCGTAGCGACCCTTTCCGGCGCCCGGGGACAAGCTTTTCGATTTGCACCCCCCTCGAGATTTCGATTTGCACCCCCCCCCCCCCCTCAAACTTTCGATTTGCCCTCCCCTGTACGTCAAACAATATGAAACGTCTAGCTATTATGAAGCTTGACATCTATACTTCAGACATCTAGGTATCATACTGCTAGACATCTAGACATCATATTTTGAGACGCCGAACATCAGACATTTAGATATTAGAGATCTATACATTACACATCCAGACATCAGACATCTTGACATAAGATATCTATAAATACTTGGAAGATCTTCGTCCACCAGATGATCGCAGTCGTTGTCCCTTCTGTCCCCAGGCTTCATAGGTATACGACCAATTGCCAAGTGGTTTACCTTGCACTAGGAAAACATGGTCTCGATTAATTCATGGTTTTAAAACATGCTTACCTCTAAATCAAACATTACGTAATTTTGTCTTAAAACATTCGTATCTGGTGAGAAAACATGATGTAATTTATTATGTAAAAAGGAATATAAATAGTTTATATCAGGTTGGAAAAAAATTGTTTATAATTAAATTAATTTTTATAGATGTAAAAAAACTTAAATCGAGCAATGTCTGATTGCCTTTTTAAAGATTTTCAAAATAGGAAGTATTTCTTAGGTTTTGTCACAACATATTGTTACTATAGTTGTATCAACGTTTCTAGTGAACTGAAACAAACTGGTTTACTTAAGACTGTGTGAAAACGGCATCGTAGTAAACTTTATTATCAACATGGAAATAATGTTAATGACCATTTTCTCTTGTTAATATATACTAGACTACCCGTCATCCGTTGGATAACTGTGGGTTTCGGGGGTCATCCATAAAAAAACATCACGTCTGTCACTCAGAGTCATAGCGACCCGGGGACAAACTTTTCAATTCAACCCCCCCCCCCCCCCCCCGCAAGATTTCGATTTGACCCCCCCCCCCCACTCAAACTTTCGTTTTGCACCCCCCTCAACCTTTCAATTTATTTTTCCAACCCATTTTGGCGCCCCCTAAGGTCGGCGCCCGGGGACATATGTCCCCCCCCCCCGCCCCCCCCCCCCCTCTCCTCGCTACGCTACTGCAGTGTCACTTATCGTCACAAAAAACAGACCCCACATTTAAAAATATGTTTTTTATCTTTTAAAAACACCGAAAACACCGATTTCGGACTATCCCTTCATATACTGACGTCACAGGTGACCTACTCAACTCTACTTCACCTGCCCAGTGTCCCGCCAAGTCTCAGACAACATGTTTTTATCGTTTAAAAAACGATTCCATCCGAGCATGTCTCTGACCGCACTTTCCTTTCATATGCTTAGGACAAGGAAACAGATAAACTCAACTTCACCTGCCCTGTATCCTGCCAAGTTCAGATAGGCAACTTTATCATTCACATCGAAAAAAAAAATTGAAAAAAAAAATATCATTGACGTATTGGTCTAGAACCTGTGCCACCCGCATGAGAGCCAATTACACTACCAACTTAGCTATTTACTCGTGACGTCACAAGTGAATTTTTATACTATACTTCGAGTCTCCTTATGCAACTTGATTTACGCGCATAGATCTAGAGTCTAGATCTAAATCTAAGTCTAGTAGTAGTAACTTTCAAATTCAATTTTATCTTAAATTAGCCAAACAAAGATTTATATAAAATAAAGAAGGTCTGAAAATATCTAGATCTAGATAGAATTATCTAGACTCGTTTGCTTAAGTCTTAAGTTATTTTTTCTTGCTAGATCTAGAATCTAGATCTAGATCTAATCATTAGCTACGCTAATAGGCCCGGAGCGAGCATTTCAAAATTACCATATTCCAAACAAAGATTTATATAAAATAATAAAGGTCTAAAATATTTTAGTATGTAGAAACTCATTATTATCTAAATCTAGAGAGAATTATCTATATTCTAGATCTACGACTGGTTTGCTTAAGTCTCGTTTTTTTTTTGGATTGTATTTATAACTAATAAATCTTTGATTTGACCTAGATCTAGATTATAGATCTAGATCTATAAATAACTTTCTTGGAAAGATTGTAGATCTAGAGAAATTTATCGTAAAACTAAATGAAAAAGACAGTTGAAAATTGATATAAGTGTTGGAACGTAATAAATACAGCAAAAGGACGTATTGTTAAAGTTAAAGCCGACAGAAAATTAGCTTTAGAACGCGTTGAACATTGGAATGGGAACACAATCTTCTTCGATATGCCGCCATTGTTGAGGTAAAAAAATAAACACATCATGTGACGTCACTGTTTCCGTCGAGTCTAGTGGTTTTTCAAATCTTTTTTATAAAAAGTGGCTAATCTACCTATGAATAAATTAATAAATTAATTAACGTCTTTAAATAAATGTGTGATTAACAGTCTGTCTTAAAACAAAAAATTTTCTCTACCTACATACTATTTTACAGCTGTCCATGATGAATAGAAGTATTCACAATACTCGATCAGCCAAACAAAAAAAACAAACAAACAAACAAAAAAATAAATATTCAAACATGTAAACAAAATTGACTTTTAGTAGTATATATATATATATATATATATATATATATATATATATATATATATATATACATATATATATATATATATATATATATATATATATAGAATTTGAAATTGAACACATTTTAAAATTCAAAATGTGTGTACTGACTTTAAAAAATAACAATACCTACTGAATTTTGGTATATATTTTGCTTCATAAACAAATTCGGTTAATCGAGTCAACAAACAAGAATAATGTTAGCTTTCCGATTATTGTAATCCAGTCTTGTGTTAAATTATTTTTTTGTATGAAATTTCACCTCGTCTTTTACGACATAACCCACAGTATGTAGGAATGTGCCGCCATCTTTCCATCCATACAGGTAGAGGCCGAAGTTGTCGTGTTTGGTCGAGTAAGCTGAATGCCAGCCGGGTGAGATTTGCAAATACCTCACTTGGTACGTGGTTCTACTTACATCAGACACCATAGCTCTAGAAAAAAACAACACTTTACTTAAAAATTTTTTTATCACACTGTGTCTACATTCTAGTGTTGATTCATCAAATGTTTAAATTTTGCTTAAATATCAGAACATTATAAGATTTTCGTTGCATATTGTTGTAATTATCTTTTTATATATTTCAATTTAAGCTACACTACACACACACACACACACACACACACATATATATATATATATATATATATATATATATATATATATATATATATATATATATATATATATATATATAGATATAGATATAGATATATATATATAGATATATAAATATGCATATATATATATATATATATATATATATATATATATATATATATATATATATATATATATATATATATATATATATATATAGGCCTATACTGTTTAAAGAAAGAAAATACAACACCACCAAACTACTCTACTTCCTCTGACAGGAAGTTGAACACATCTCTAGCGTCAAAGCTTATTTCAAACCCAAACCTAAATAGCCATCTTGAAACCCGGCTCTAACCTAAATAACCATCAGGTAACAACCGTATTTAGCATTAATAAACAACAAGTAACTTTCGCATCTAGCCTAAATAGTCATCTAGTAATCTTCGTCCTATCCATCTAGCATCAGTCGCCCCTTGTATAATTAAGTCCCAACTCTTACTTGTAGCTTAAGGCGCGCACATCATCGACTAAAATATAGGGATATGTGTCTTTTTCAGCAATCATAATCAGAAAAATTCTCATGGGTCCCACACTTGAATTACTGGGTAATGGTACACTGAGGAGAGAGAGAGAGAGAGAGAGAGAGAGAGAGCAACAACGTCAAAGTTAACGATGTAGTCGGATTGATATTCTGATACTGGAATAATCAGGTTAGTTATCATGTCACCTACGTCCTAATTAAATAACTACTGACCCTAAACTTAGCCCTAACCACTAATTAACAACTGTAAAAATACACAAGATATTCGAAAACATGACTAATACAGATATTTTTGTTAATTGAATTACTAACTTAAAAAGACTGACTAGAATACTATCTACAAAATTAATTTTTGTTCGCTACGACCCCCCTCCCTACCAGTCTGGTGAGCTGTAGTTCACGTCAAATGTTTGCATTCGTAGAGCCGGGTCGAATTTGAGAGTGATATTACGGAGAGATAGTTTAGTTTTTAAACGATTTGAAACTAAAGAAGGTAATAACAAGTTCTGCTTAATATTTTCATTGTCGTCTGTAAACTGTCGTCACTGACGGCTGCTTTCACGATGGGGGGGGGGGGGGGGGGGGGACTGTGGGGTGAAGGTAATCGTCCTCCACGAGCAACTGATAGTGCTTTAAAGCAAAAAAAATTTCAGTCGCAACATTGGTACTGTTGAATTCACAAATTATGAATTACTGAAAGTAGAAAATAAAACAACTAAATAGCTGCGTATGCTTACGGCGCGGGTCAGCTCGAATAGCGTAACTTATCAAACCACTGACTAAAAACGTCACTAAAAATAACTGACTCATACTACCCACTAGAAACCATGACTTATTCATGTATTTTAAAAACAAAATTGAATTACTTCTTTTAAAAAAAAAAGACGAACGAGGCTACTAACCATATAGCAAACCACTGACCTGAACGCGTAGCTAAAAAGGAATAATTGTACAGGAACCAGCCAAGCTAAAGCCATGCTTGACGTACAATCCTTGCCCCTTCCAATATAGTAGAATGCCACGTGGCCGCCGGACGTTTTTAAGTGTAATGAGTAATCAGAATCTAAAACGATCTGAAATTAAAATTTCACAACTAGTATCTTGCTGTATTTTGCTTTTTTACTTTCTCGTATATACGAAGTATAGAGAAAGTCTTGTAATCGTGCAAAAAAAAATCAAGATTTTTACAAATCTCTACGTTTTACACCTCAGTGATAGGGAAAAACATAATTTTGCAATCTTGCCCGTATGTCTGTGTGTCTGTGTGTGTATCTGTGTATGTGTAAACACGATAACTTGAGTACCGTTACAGCTATGTTGATGAAATTTCATATATAAGTATTTTATCTTCTTCTGGGTTTTTATTTTAATATTGGAAGAGATCCCCTCCAACAAAATTAAGTATACGTGTCAACTGGTTATGCACCATTGAGGTCATTGACTCCGATTTCTACCTGCTTTTCCTTTTGGATTGCTTCAATAGCCTTTGTCCAACCAAGAACAAACTACAAGTTGTCTCTCCTCGAAGAGTGGTTGTTCACACTTAACGAGCCTCATCTGCCCGATTTATTCCATGTTGCGTCATGAAATATTATTGGAGCAGACATAAAAATTGAAAATCTAATTTTAATCATAAATCTTATTATGATTGGACTCTCAGAACATATGACTGTTACGCTTTTCAAATGGTTGTTATACGGTGTGAAAAGCTATATCTCTTACGTGATACTATTCAAATATTTTCTTTTTGCATCTTATGGGGTTGTGGCTAACTAGGAAAAAGTAAGTAACAAGAGGTTGTCCGACTCTGATGGTGTGTATATCTGTGTAACGAAGAGTGATACTGAGGAACGTTATTAGTGTTGGTTACTTTTAGAATAGTTTGCTGTTGCTTTTTTTATCTTAAGGGTCATCCATAAATGACGTCACGCTTTTTTGGACGATTTTTACCTCACCTCCGTCACACATCGTCACAAAAAGACTACCCCCCCCCCTAAAATGACGTCACACCTCAGCCCCATCAAAATTGCAGATGCATTTTTCTTAAAACATCGATTTGTTTTCCAAAATCTTGTCCGAACACTGTCAAAATAGAGTATTTTAATCAATTAGTATTGTAATTTATTAAAACAGTTTTCTTAAATGCGAAATAACGTCTAAATTTCGTTTTCTAACATTGCTTTTTTTATAATGCAAAAGTGTGACGTCGCACCATCTGAATCCTCCCACCTCCCCCTCCCCCTCGTCACAGACAATCACAAAATTACGAATTCCCCCTCCCCCTACGAGTGTGACGTCATTTATGGACGAACCCTTAGCATTATGTAAAGCTCTTATTATTTTTTTCTAAAATGTATTTTGTAAAGAAACATATATTATGTGCGTTTAACATTTACAGTTTCACATGTGAATACATGGCTAGAGCAACGCCTAGCCGATAACGGGTAGTAATGTAATAAAGTAGGAACTCACTGCAACACAACACACTTTACGTGACAATACCTTTCTGCGTTCACTATCCTTTAGATACAATGTTTTTTTTCCATTGATTACAACAGTAATGTCCCTAGCCCACATGACTGCTATTATTAACTCATCATAGATTGTTGTTAACTCCATTTTCGCCATTGTGTTCCTACTAAAGACCACAAATTCCAGCGGTATCGGAGTATCATAATTGGAATAGTACACGCTCTCTGAAACAATACGATACAATAAAAATCGGATTATTTTTCAACTGTATAAGAGTAAGACATATGTTTTATACCATTGAACCTGACGGAAAAACGCGTGTCGAAGAGTTCACACTCACAACAGAAGCGTGGCGGTATATTGCGGTGCACACGGGCGAACTTTTAGCTTCGTGCCTCCTCAGAATAACTACCGTAATGGAATCTTTCGGCTCATACTGAACATTTATTTATTTGTTCATTATTTGAAATGCTAAAAGATAAGCTGAACATTTTGAAACAATCTGGATATCTTCAATTACATTTTTAAATTAATACATATATGAATATTAATAATGGTACAAAGTTGCAAACATATATAAATAAATAAATAAATAAATAAATAAATAAATAAATAAATAAATAAATAAGTAAGTAAGTAAGTAAGTAAGTAAGTAAGTAAGTAAGTAAGTAAGTAAGTAAGTAAATAAATAAATAAATAAATAAATAAATAAATAAATAAATAAATAAATAAATAAATAAATAAACAAACAAACAAACAAACAAACAAACAAACAAACAAACAAACAAACAAATAAATAAATAAATAAATAAATAAATAAATAAACAAACAAACAAACAAACAAACAAACAAACAAACAAACAAACAAACAAATAAATAAATAAATAAATAAATTAATAAATAAATAAATAAATAAATAAATAAATAAATAAATAAATAAATAAATAAATAAATAAATAAATAAATTTAAAAAAAATAAAAAATAAAAAAATAAAAAAAATAATATATATATATATATATATATATATATATATATATATATATATATATATATATATATATATATATATATACATATATATATATATATATATATCAATGTGTAGAAACATTAATATTACGTGTGAGGAAGTAAACCTAAAATGTTCTCTAAATACGAACCTATAAAAGGAAAATTCGTTTTTTCCAATTCACAATTGAAATGAAAGTTTGTCTCACATGTCACAACGATTACTCCAAAGGCTCCATACGCTGATAGATATACTAGAAAATAGACACGTTAGAATGGAATCATATTTTTAATCATCAGATTTGAACGTTTAGTATAGACCAGGGGTCGGCAACCTATCGCTCGCGAGCCGCATGCGGCTCTTTTGATGTCAAGGTGCGGCTCTTCAGCCCCGTGTACAAATATTGATAATTATTTTAATTTATTTTAAAACTCATAAAAAGATTAGTCTGCAACGCTCGGTAATGAACGATATAAATAATAATAAATATAAACAGTGAACACCCACTATTCTATTAGAATATTTAGTTATTCCCAATTTTAATGAAGCCTACATCCTTGTTTTCTAATACTGAGTTTTTTGTTAAAAATGCCTGTGTTTGGATCATTTTTATCGGGGCACGCGGGTGTGCTGCAAGAAAGCCTTGAGTGTAAGTTAATCACTAACCGTAATATCACCGTTAATCAATAACTGCTTTAGTGACGAGGACGGTAAGTAGCGCTATCGTGAACCCGATTTCACTACCACAGGGACCCGATTACATGACCGCAGGGCGCCGCTTACGGCCCCTAGCTCGGTTTAAACATCGAATGTCGTGTGCCGCATTTTCAATATTGTAGGCTGCTCCTCAAAACTGATTCGATTTAGTGAGCGACTTTAGCAACCCGTTGTATCCAAAGCCTATCGCGAATGCCTAGTCCTTACATAGTCGCTCTGGAACTCTGGGCGCCAAACCGTGTGTTGACGAAAATCGAACCCTCCCGGGCGCTGCCAATAAGATTTTTTTTTCTCGCAGAAATCTTCTCGGGAGTATTCACATCTACTTACAAAGTTTTATGGCACACAGATGTACGGTATCGAATCCCACCCGACTTTTATTTTTTTCATATTCGCACACTCCAGGGGCGCCGCCATTACGCAATTAGATTTTTTTTTTTTGCAGAAACCTCCCCAGGAGTGTTCTAATCAACTCACCCAAAGTTTGAGGGTGATCGGTTCAACGGTGTCAACCCTCAATTGACTTTTAATTTTATAAATCGAATCGCTCCCTGCCGGGCGTCACCCCTGCAAATTCGACTTTTTGTTTTCGAAGATAACTCCTCAGGAGTATTCTCAACAACTTCCTAAAGTTTCCTGGCGATCTGATGAATGGTGTAGCAATGAATGGCTTTTTAAAATATGGGAAACTTTGTAAATTGTAACTTTTGGCTCTTCCGTCACAAAAGGTTGCCGACCCCTGGTATAGACCATTCACAAAAAGCAAATAGTTTTCACCAAAAAATAAGAATTTAAATGATACTTGAGCGATACATTTTACGTGATCTAACTTTCAAGTCACATATACATACATACATATATATATATATATATATATATATATATATATATATATATATATATATATATATATATATATATATATAAATATACATATATATATATATATATATATATATATATATATATATATATATATATATATATATATATATATATATATATATACATTATATATATATATATATATATATATATATATATATATATATATATTTATATTTATATATATCTGGTTTCAACCCTCAAACATTTTATTTCAATGTTTATCGTTCGTTTTAAACATTTGCTAATCTAAGGATTTTGTCTTACTTTTAAAATGGCATAAACTGTGAAAACAAGATATAACGGTCAGTTGATTGTTGAATTTTGTTTGTTTTTAAAATTATAATAAGTATAAGGATACCCACCTCCGCCATCCCGATCTTCTTTTAAAATTGAATCCATACCACACATTCCATAATCAAAAATTGCAAATTCTTTCCTAAAATTAAATCAATTGTTTACTACTATATATATATATAAATATATATATATATATATATATATATATATATATATATATATATATATATATATATATATGAGAAATGATGTGTCTGTTTGCTCCATCCATCCATCCATCCATCCATCCATCCATCCATCCATCCATCCATCCATCCATCCATCCATCCATCCATCCATCCATCCATCCATCCATCCATCCATCCATCCATCCATCCATCCATCCATCCATCCATCCATCCATCCATCCATCCATCCATCCATCCATCCATCCATCCATCCATCCATCCATCCATCCATCCATCCATCCATCCATCCATCCATCCATCCATCCATCCATCCATCCATCCATCCATCCATCCATCCATCCATCCATCCATCCATCCATCCATCCATCCATCCATCCATCCATCCATCCATCCATCCATCCATCCATCCATCCATCCATCCATCCATCCATCCATCCATCCATCCATCCATCCATCCATCCATCCATCCATCCATCCATCCATCCATCCACCCATCCATACCATCCATATATATATATATATATATTTATATATATATATATATATATATATATATATATATATATATATATATATATATATATATATATATGGTGACAGGACAAATGATCTCTGGACAAATGATCACAGACAAAATATCTCAGACAAAATATGTCACGGACAAATGACCTCAGGACAAATGATCTCAGGACAAATGATCTCAAGGACAAATAATCTCAAGGACACCTTTCTTCACATTTTCATGAAGCTCTGTCATGAGTTAATGAAATTATTTCAGGAAAGATAGCTGGGAGAAAAAAACTTAATATCGAAAGACGGCGGTCCGACCGGATATGATTGAACGATCACATTTTCCCAGTGACTAGCTCAGCACATAAGAACGGTTGATTTGACGACGTGGACAGAGTCGCCTGTACTACTTGATTCAACTGTCGAACCACATTGATTGAAATAGTGCATACAATAAAAACAGATTGATCCGCCACACCCAGGTTATCAGCGTTGTAGAACGTCCAGGTCTAACCGCAAGCACTATCATGAGGAAATTCGTTAATTAATTAAACCTGGTGCCACTGTTGTAATATAACCGGTGGCTCCTGGCAGTACCAAGCGTCAACCCTTTCACCTGCTTGGTCAACGACGGGCGTTCTACTTTACCCTTCAGGAAATTGATTAACGTATACAGAAGATCTGTTCTTGTTTATATTTACTGATGCAACATGCATCTGTATTTTCAACGATAGCAATAGATGTGGAAAGAAAAGTAGGTCACTCGTATAAAAATACTTCATTTTGAGAATTCAATGTTAACAAAATGTGTGTCTGAATTTCTTTTCTTCTGAGATCGCAGCAGTGCGTGTGACGGGTACGCGTGTAAAACATAAAGATAAGTAAGACTGAGATATATTAACATAGATATAAAAAGTAAAAGAAAAGTATAAGTAAACATGTACCGAAGATAACGTCCAAGATAAATATCACTAAAATACTCACACTTTAACCTCCTTTCTTTCTTTCGCATGATAATTCCCCTCTTCCTTGTTGTAGAGATAAAGAGTGATGCGGTTGTCATCAGCGTTTGAACCTGACATAACTAAGAGTTGTCTTGTGTAGTTCCTAGAGGGATATACTCAAGTGACTTACGTTTATTGTAATATCTTATAAAATATAATCAATATATGAACATTATAAAAAATATAATCAATATATGAACAATATATATCAAAAGAACATTCTTTGGAACTTAGCCTAAAAACTAATAGACTACGTAGGTTTTATTGTTAACTAGGAATACTGCCTAGTATTGTTAAGGTTTTAAAATAAAAAAAAATTGAGAATTTGAATGATTAATTTTTGTTTGATTGTCTGTTATCTGGAGTGCTTAGGGTCTAAGTTTAAAGAGTCTTGAGTAAATTCATTTCATGCAAATATGTTTGGAGTATTCGTAAACTTATTACTCGCAAGGGTATTAGAACTTCAAAGGCTAAGTGGAAATGCATATGAGGATGTATCTTAATAAAGCTGTAAAGAAATAACTGTTTTCTAACGAGTATTAAAAAAGTTTTTTTTTTTACCGGAGCCTTCCCCCTTAATAGTATTATGTAGTATTATTTTTTTATTTATACTATTAAGTGGGCTTCAACACATTATCATGATGTAAAGAAGTAAAGAATCCGAAAATCTTTGTTAAAATTACCCTCTGTTTTTCCCATAAAATACAAAGATGTTATAGGGAAATACGACAGGTCAGTTTTGACCCCTTTCCAGTTTTGCCCGGATATGCCGAGTTTTTTCTGACACCCCTAGGTGTTCTCATACCACCTCACAAAATATCATGGGGGGTCGTTCCGCAAAAGTTTTTTTTCGTAATATAGCTCATATAAAGAGAACTTCATACGCGGTCATTTTTTAGCCCTAGTCGAGGGCTTTCAGTCTGACCAACAGTTTTCCCAAACAGCCTAGCCACTTACAGAGGAACAAGCAAAAAATTATCCAGATGAACAGACTGTAAGCGCCCTAAAATCTTTGTTGAAAAACTCCTTTTTTTTCCCCATAAAATACAAAGATTATCTATTGAAATACGACTGGTTAGTGTTGACCCATTTTTCAGATTTTCCCCAGATATGCCGAGTTTTTTCTGACACCCCTAGGTGTTCTCCTACCACTTCTCAAAATATCAAGGAGGGTCGTTCTGCATAAGTTTTTTTCGTAAAATAGCCCATATAAGGCGCCGGTCAGTCGAAGTCAGTTTTGACCCTGTCTCCGTGGACTTTGCGGCCAATTTCCCCAAAGCAGGATAATGCCAAATTTGTATCGGGCATCCTAACACTTTGCTTTATATATATATATATATACATATACATATATATATATATATATATATATATATATATATATATATATATATATATATATATATATATATATATATATATATAGTTACCCTTCATTTCATGAATACATTTCTTGAAACCAATTTCAACAGTATGTAGAATAAGAAAATAGTGAGAAAATAGTAAGAAAAAGCTATTTTTATTTTGTAAAATAACAGTATGTATCAAAATTGCTACAATATGCAACAGTTAGAAAATCAAAAGTTCAGTTTACATTTTGTACACCAATAGCTGCCATATACCTTGCAGCCTGGCAAATTGCACCTTTGTCGCGCATCATCATGAACCATTCTATTACCAACTTGATCAGTTCTATGTTTATAGGTGGGACAACAGCAATGTGTCCTCTGTGTCTTTTAACCTCCATCATACGGTTAATGTAAGATGGCCTTCCTCTCTTTTTACTTTGTGAGGTTCTCACTTACAAAGACACTGTGCAACTTCAGCGCTAAATTCCCATAATGTCGTTTTAGTTGTAATACCGGTTTAGAAATTTTCTCTTTTATAAAGAAACCAAGCATTGATATATGTTACATCCATCAAGTGGAAAAAAATTCTGAAACACCATATCTTTGATAGTAAGATTATTCTGTGTCTGGCAATATAACTGTCCACTAAATCAACACCCTTCTTGTATTATATTCCTTTATAATACAACTGACTTCAACTCCGTGAACTGTAGCTGTGAATTTTTCAGAGGTTCTTCTAGGCAGTTTTTTAAAATTTTGCATCATCCATCAACTTGCAGTTTGGGGTTCTATTTCTCCTAACAGTACCCTACATATATATCCCTTGTTTGGCCATATGTACTTCCAGTGGCAATGACATAGTAATTAACACAGTACAGTTTAGCATTTTGGAATTTATCACAATTCTTGAAGGACGCGCAACAACATTTTTTGGACTTTAACGGCTGGCATTGTTTTAGATGGCGTCTTGCTTTAGTTGCACGTATCTGTTCATACACAGCCATACACGGTTCATTGGGCGCTGCAGAAAATACGTCATTCAGATTGTCTATGATTGGTCTCAATTTGAATAATTTATTATGCTGAGGATGCCCTTTATCTAGCATCAAATTAGTGTCTTTGAAGTGCAGCGTACCATTCAATGCTTCATGTTTATGGGCATACAATTACTTATTTCACTAATGCCAATATCAGCTCACCAATAACACCTTGTCCTATGAAATTACAATCATGTATTGTAAAATCCCAATAAACTGTTTCATAGATTTTATAGAATATTTTTATTTGGAATCTTCTGTGTGCAGTAAAGGTTAGTTTGTTAACAAATAAAGCTAATACAATCATCATCAGTGAAATGCTGAAAACATTTATAAGATGTCTTCAGTTGTGTAACTGAATCTGGAAGCACTAAGCAGCCTTTTAAGTCCAAAGTTTCTTGGTCAAGGACTATTTCTTTTTTTTCTATAGCACAATTATGTGTCTCACTTTAGCAGTGGTGCCTGATGTAGAAGTATTTACATATATGGGTGGTAGAGTTGATGATGAAGCCTGCGGCTTCGAATCAGATTCCTCACTCTCCTCAGTGCCGAACTGCAACTTCATCTTCAAGCTCAGAAGAATCAGACGAATCTTCTGACATGGCTTAAATATCACTCTCATCTAGATGTTCTAGGAAATCTGCCAGCTCACTTTCAGAGAGAATTATGCGGCCCGAGCCCTTGTTCATTTTTGATACCTGAAAATAAAATTTAAAATATAATGTTACCACTGAAACTGTCTATACATTATATGAATGTATAAAGTTCTTCATAACTAAGTAGATTCTTGTGTATGTACTATTACTAGATCTAGGTAATAATAACGCAGAACTAATAATACTATCACATATTATGACACTATTTTACTTCGAAGAAAGAAAAATACATGTATATTACTTTTAATAGAAAGATTATAGATAAAGTTCAATGTAAGTATTGGGCCAACTGTAGACCCACAAATCAATCAAGGATGTAGATAGATCTATAAATTCTAGACTAGATCTAGTTTAAGTTAGGATCTAAATCTAGATTTTAATTTTTATTACACCTATTTTATATAAATATATCTATAACAATTCAGTTATTACTTTTATAAATAAAAAATATTAAAAACTAGCAAGCAGATCTAGTATAGATTGCATTAAAGGTATCTAAATCTAGATGTGACTAAAATATTGATTCAGTAAGAGGGACATTTCACTTTGATGTTATCAGCTTGAATCTAATAAAATAATATGTAAATAACAAAGATGTATGTAAAACTACTTACCTCAATAAAGGAAAAAAAATTCATGTCAAAAATCGCAGATTGTAAATAAAATTTCTCTTCTCAAAATGAACATCCTCAAACGTTGTCTGACTAGAGTAAACTGACTGATTCAAATCTTGAGCGTGTCATATAAAGCGCACCTATAGTCTGTTTCAGGCTTAAATCTAGGTCAAAAGTGATCTAGCGGCAATGGGAAAATTTAAAAAAATGGATTTTTATCATTAGTGTAAATTTATTTTTAGTTATTTCGCTTTGTAGCAAAATTGCTACAATATGAAATGAAAGGTATTTACTTTCTCGTATACGAAGTATAGAGGAAGTCTTGTAATCATGCGAAAAAAAATCGAAATGTTTACAAATTTCGACGTTTTAAACAGTACGAAAAACATAGTTTTGCAAATTTTTAAAAATAGGTCTTTGTGTGTGTGTGTGTGTGCGTGTGTGTGAACATGATAACTTAAGTACCATTACAGCTAGGTTGATGAAATTTCATATACAGGTATTATATTAAAATTGTAGTTCTGTGTCTACTTTTCAGCGATTTCCGATAACTTGAAGTGGAGCTTACTCTACTTTCAATTTTTCAAAAGCCTATAACTTGAGTACTGTTTTAAATAGATTATTGAATAGTCACATGTAAGTAAAACAATCTAATTCTCTGCCTTCTGTTTAATTCTGAATAATTTCTGTTGACCGGAAGTAGTAAGTGACGCTATTTCTGATTTCCTAAAAAACGCGTGTGAACTTAGGAAGTACCAATAATATTCCACACTATTATACACGTATTGTTTGGCGTTTACTTGGTGCGCATTTCCTTTTTCTACGAGATTCTATTTTATTATGATTTTGATATAATACTTAGAAGTTTTATCAACCTAGCTGTGACGGTACTCGAGTTATCGTGTTTACAGACACAGACACAGACAGACACACACACACACACACATACACACACAGACATACGGATAAGATTCCAAAACTATGTTTTTCCGACTCAGGGAGCTGTAAATCGTCGAGAGTTGCAAAAATCTTAATTTTTTTTGTGTGCACGAATACAAGACCTTCTCTATACCTCGTATATAGGAGAAAGTAAAAATTGATCAAAAATCATGTCTATATCCCGATTTGCCATCCCCCGTAGTGTTATAAAAGAATATTCGAGAAAGTTTAGGCGAGATCACCACCGGTTTATTTATTACAATATTTACACATTTTAAAAGGGTTAAATATAGAAGGATAAGCTTAGTTACTAAGTTTGTGATATCGAAAATTATTAGGCGGGAGTGAGGGAGGGGTAAATGGCATACATTACATAAAAAACTGGAACATTGTTTGTATTTACCCGAACCAAGGGAAGTAGAATGCTGTATCGAAATATATGGCAGGTAACGCCAGCATGGAATCAATCCAGTAGCCAGTCCGTTTATCAATGAACAGCACCGTAATAGCGAATTCGTATTCGTTCTTGGGGTTTTCAAATACAATCGAAATGTAAATTTCGCTGTTTTTAAGGCAAATGTGTTGGGTAAGATATAAAGATTAGACAACAACACATTATAAGAAACTGCATTAATTTGTATATTATTTCATTAGTTCATTAGTTCATTCGTTCATTCGTGCATTCGTTTATTTGTTCCTTCGTAAATTCATTGTCATTTGTTCATTCGTTTATTCGTTCAATTAATTGTTTTTCAATATATCTATCTTTCAGTCTTTATATTGTTCGATAGATCAATAGTTCCTTTAATAAATTGTTGATTTTTAAATTTGTATTTAAAAATGAATGTTAAAGTGAAGAAGGGTGTGTTTTGGCAATTTTGATGTTTGTGGATGTCAGTTATGATTGCGGATCTACTACAGTTTGAAAAAGGTGACGCATTAATGCATGTAAATTAACACATTAATGTGTGTATGAGTGTGCATGATGATACGGATGTTGGTGTGGTTTTAATTTATGTTGATTTTGGTGTAGGTGTGAATGTTTATTAATTATATATATATATATATATATATATATATATATATATATATATATATATATATATATATATATATATATATATATATATATATATATATATATATATATACGGGGGGGGGTGACACCGTTGGGTGCCGCATCGGGTAACACCCGAACTCACTACGCCACTGTCAGTATGTTATATATATATATATATATATATATATATATATATATATATATATATATATATATATATATATATATATATATATATATATATTCACTGGTAAGTATGTGTAAGCGCATGTCTACATGTATTTAAATATTTGTTTCTTCTGGGTGTATTTAATTTATTTACCCACCCCCTCACCCCATACATGGATTAACATATAGGTTATCACGATTCTCAACCATGTTATCCTCAGGCATATATATTGCAACGTTGAGTTGATGTAACTTTCTCCCGCCCCCCCCCCCCTCCCCTCCCCTCCCTGTCAACTCCACTGTTATTTCTTTATCAATAGTAGGTTTACGTCATGGCGTCACCCATCTCCACCCCCCCCCCCATCCACCTGTGTCGGCATTCGTCCACTTTGCTCTTAAAAGACTATTTGATTCAATCTAATTAATCATTTCATTAAATGAAATTATCATTGTTCTGTATATATTTTGCTAATTTTATCCTTGGTGCCACCCCCCGGAATGGTCCATACACCCCCCCCCCTTCGCGATGCCCTTGCATTCAGATTTTCTCTATATTTATTTGTTACTTAAAAGTTTTACCTTAATGAAAGGTCTAGAGATTTTACAACTACTCTGGATCTTGTTAAATACAAATCTGTTGGGTAAACCTTTTCTTCACGAGAAGGTAGTGATACTTTCTTTATCACACAGGAGACGTGAAATGTCTCAAGGTACATCGTTACCAGATGAAATTCCGCTGTAGCTGAGATGTATCTCGGTACCCCCAGAATAAAATAACTACCATATGTACCTGCTGGTGAATTAAAAGAGCAACATAATATACACAAATTAATACAATAAATACCTCAAATAATTATATATTTTAATACAATATATTTTCAATGCTAGATTATCTTCTGTGTCACTAAATTTATATATATTGGTGACGTCCTAAATTATGTAAAGTATCGTTTGACATTTCTACTCTACATCTGGCCATTTTCTACTTCCGTATAATAATAATCTTTATATATATGATATATTTGATTAGTGATTTTTCTTAATTAAAATTATACTTTATTTCACACATTTTTACATCACACTAAAAAGATGTAATTAAAAGAATAATACCTCCATATATAATTACCAATTGTTGTGTTAAAGTTGTCAAAATAAATACTAATTGAAAAAGGATCTGTAAATAAATATAAAAGTATTGGCACTTTAGAAAAATTTCATCTTAGTTTTATTGCATGAACTGAACTGCTTAGGTCACCCTGATTACAGAACGTAAGGCTTCATAATCACTGTGTTCGAAAAAAGTGGCATTAGCTCTATACCATTTCCACTAATTTCTCTATCGTCAGTAAGATACCCATCAGAGCTGGATTGACTCTGGGACGCCCTTAGGACGCGAACACCAGATCTGATATCAACTTCCCGAATAGCAGCCATGTGCAGTCAAATTTTTTATGCTTGGAAATGGGGAGGGGGAGTAACAGAAACTATGATAATGCTTAAAGATTGTTCTAAAGCACATGTACCGTATTAGAAAAAAAATATTTTGTTAAATGATCCAGATATTCTAAATATTTCTAGCCAACTTGCATAAATACAAAATAAAGTACTGAATTGTAGCTCATCAATTGAAATCGTCACACACCACACAAGTCGCTGTTTGTCCTAAATGATAACATTGCGACACGTAGATTTATTCTATTTTATTTTCACTTCCACTTACAGTCAATAGTTTTAGCAGAAACTACGAGTAGTTGTTATGCTTAGAAGTGTTAAAAATGATTATCTTTTTTTTTTTAATTTGATTTTTCGTTTTCTATTTATTTAATAGAATTAGGTACATAACATTTGGTATTATACGCAAACCAGCACACTAACACCATGTTATTTTATTGTGTATTAGAGTATTAGATATATATAGATTAATAGACTAGATCTATGTAAGTCTAGATATTCTCTAGAAAATATAATGTATTAGATCGCACGTCATTTTAAAACTGTCTTGTAAAGTAATACTTAAAATGACAATATACAAAAATACAATATGCACCAATACATAGATCTACCTCCATTTCATGAGCCCATTGCTTTAGGTTTTGTTTATTTAAGTTAATAAACCGTGTTGACTACTGTCAATGTCAGCCATGTTGTATACGCACCTTGAACAAGTGCCATAATTCTATTTTTTTATAGAGTTTTTTTCGCACCTAAATTGACGCGCAGGATAAAAACTGGATAACTCGTCGCTATCTGTTTTAAATTCTTAACTATTGTTGGGTATCTTTTATTGTACGTTATTCTAATGTGTGGGGGGTCTAAGACAAATTCTCGGAAGACACTTGCCCAAACGCTGTTTGCCTACAGGCCGTTTTCCCTAAGAGACACTTGCCCGAATGGACACTTGCCCGAATGGACACTTGCCCGAATGCGACAAATGCCCGAATGGACACTTGCCCGAATGCGACAAATGCCCGAATGGACACTTGCCCGAATGCGACAAATGCCCGAATGGACACTTGCCCGAATGGACACTTGCCCGAATGGACACTTGCCCGAATGCGACAAATGCCCGAATGGACACTTGCCCGAATGCGACAAATGCCCGAATGGACACTTGCCCGAATGCGACAAATGCCCGAATGAACACTTGCCCGAATGGACACTTGCCCGAATGGACACTTGCCCGAATGCGACAAATGCCCGAATGGACACTTGCCCGAATGCGACAAATGCCCGAATGGACACTTGCCCGAATAAGACAAATACCCGAATGGACACTTGCCCGAATGGACACTTGCCCGAATGGACACTTGCCCGAATGCGACAAATGCCCGAATGGACACTTGCCCGAATGGACCCTTGCCCGAATGGACACTTGCCCGAATGGACACTTGCCCGAATGGACACTTGCCCCAATGGACACTTGCCCGAATGGACACTTGCCCTAATGGACACTTGCCCGAATGAGACAAATACCCGAATGCAACAAACACCCGAAAGGACACGTGCCAGAAAAAAATTACCGCCCCACCCCCCCCCCCCCCGAACGAACTGAAATTTATATAATTTATATAGAAAATATATACTTTTAACAGTGTCCCCCCCCCCCCCCCGATGAAAGTTTACCTCCCCCCCCCCGAAAATTTCAAGTGCCCCCCCTCCCCCGGAGAAAAAAGTCTGGAAGAAACACTGGCCCTAATGCGACAAATGCACGAATGGACACTTGCCCGAATACGACAAATGCACGAATGGACAAATACAGACATGACTTACTTTGAAACAAATCATAAGTAAAGGGCTGCAGCTAAAACTCTCAAAAAGGAAGGTTTATTGGATTCTCACATTTTTTCAATGTCTTAATGAAGGACTGTAGAATGCTGCTTGATCTCGTAACTGGACTAACTGTAGATTTCCACAATAAATGCAAGAGTATGTTGCACAACTTGTAACTCACTTTTCACCAAATTCTACCGCATCCCTTTACAATGACAATGCAATAATATATTTTCAATACAGTACTACAAAGTTAGTTAAATAATCAATTTTAAAACGCATAGGTGTTGTAAATAATTATTTTCAAAAATACGTATTATTTGCATTAAAAATAACATTCTACGCTTATAAATTTGTATGTAAATGTTCTAAAATGAAAATTTGTTTTTAATCGATTTTTTTATTACAAACATTTTTGTATAAAATCACGACAAGCAATGAGAGCAGAACACAAAATGCCGAGATTTTGATAAAATTTTAGATTGTACTTATCCTTCTTTAGGTCACACAGTGAGAACTCACACACGTTACGCTTCTAAATATTTTTTAATTTTTTTAAAATTTAAAATGTTTTAGTTACTTTTTGACAAAAGACTCTCACATCAACGGTACAAGTACATTTTTACTTTCTCGTATATACGAAGTATAGAGAAAGTATTGTAATCGTGCAAAAAAAAAATCGAGATTTTTACAAATCTCGACGTTTTACACCTCACTGATACGGAAAAACATAATTTTGCAATCTTGTCCGTATGTCTGTGTGTCTGTGTGTGTGTCTGTGTGTGTGTGTGTGTGTAAACACGATAACTTGAGTACCGTTACAGCTAGGTTGATGAAATTTCATATATAAGTATTTTATCAAAATCGTAGATCCGTATCAACTTTTGAGCGATTTCCGATAACCGGAAGTGGTACTTTTTCTACTTTTTCAAAAGCCTATAACTTGAGTATTATTTCAGATAGATAAATGAAATTTCACATTTAAGTAAAAGATCTAATTCTCTACCTTCTGTTGAATTTTGAGTAATTTCCGTTGACGGGAAGTACTAATTTACGCTATTTCCGATTTCTCAAAAACGCATCTAAATTTATAAAGTACTAATAATATTGCGCACCATTATGAACATCTTTATTTGGCGTTCGCTTGGTGTGCAATACTTTTTTCTATGAGATTCTATTTTATTTTTAAAAGTTTATGTATTTAAAATGGATTAAAAATCATAACTATATCCCGAGTTCCCATCCCTTGTTGTTTTATATAAGAATTTCGAGAAAGTTTAGGGGAGATCACTCCCGGTTTATTATAATTTAAAACTTATGTTTGGTAAAATATTATAGACATTATAAGAGTACATTTTTTATAATTTTAAAACTTTTGTATTGTAAAAAATATTATAGACATAATAAGAGTACATTTTTTATAATTTTAAAACTTGTATTTGCTCAAATATTACAGTTAAACATGATATGTCTGGTTGCAAGCTTTATACTTTTTAAACCAGTGGTTCCCAACTTTTTTCGAGTGGCGACCCCCTTTTATAAAAAGTAAGTGACCCGCGACCCCCATAGAATTAAAAAGCCGAAATCTCACAATCAGATTCATCTACCACACCGCAGAGTTTCTCAAATTTACAATATTTCCAAGATTTGTTTTCTTTACCGATTTTGCAGCTTTGATAAAAATGCCCCGAGATTATCATGGAAAGTTATAATATTCGTTCATTTTCCCTGACGCTCCAGGTTAAGCTTATCTTGATGTTCGAACATATCTGCTAGGTATGATACTATCTCCAACCACTCTATGTCGTTTTAATTATACCAACAAGTCTTGTTTCCTTTGCACTCCCAAGAACAATTTGATTTCAGATTTCAATTCAAAAACACAATTTACAACATTTCGTTTGACAGCCAGCGTACTGTAGTGTAGAAGAGCAGAACCTCGTGATCTATATTAATGTTTTTGCTCAGTTCTTTGAAGGCTCCAGATTTTATATAATTTACGACTTATACTAGCAATGGACTCTTGATGTCGATTGGTTAGGGCAGTGGTTATGGAGCTAAATCTTTTCTGTTTTCTGAAAGCCCGATTTTGAGCTAAACCTAGATAGCGCACCATCCGTACAAACCCCCACAACCGTTTTAACCAACTTTAATCTTTCAGTTTCATAAAACGTATTTATTTTCTCCATGCTATCTTCACAAAAGTGCAACTTTTCTTTGCTATCATCCAGATGAATATAGACACAGACCAGCAACTGCGAACACGAACTCACGTCTGTTGATTTATCAACTTGAAAAGCTTAATTTCAATAAAAATGTGCTATTTAACATTTACGTACATGCAGCGTTTGATGACATTTTCTCCTGTTTTTTTTTTTTTTGCTTGGCATTTTCTATCGCGACTTCATTTGATGCTTGCACTAATGCTGGTGAAAACTTCCTGTTCGATCAAGTCTCTGGCGTTTGCAACTAGCTTCTTATCGACGAAAGAACTCCATATATTTTTTGGTGTGTTCCGAATGACTCGTCTCAAATGACGTTTTAGTTTTGAAGATTTCATAGATTTGTGACTGAGAACAACTTTGTACCGTGCGCTTTGTTTCTTCTCTATTACATTTCCAGTGATGTTAATGAAGCCGAATTTCAAAAATTCTTCTAAATATTTATGTTTTGTTTCAAATTACTAAGGTTTAGTATACCAGTTGGCGACCCCCCAGAAAGACCTTCTCGACCCCCAGGTTGGGAACCCGTGTTTTAAACGTATGTGCATATCACAGCTTTCTTTTTCACACTATTTAATTAAATATACAATGCACAGATAGTTCATGAAGTTTTCTTTATTTAATTTTTTTTTATTAGAAATATGATATTAAATAATAGTTGTGGACTCATCGATATTATTGCAGTGCATTAACAGCTGCCAATGTCCAGTCCCACGAATACATTATACGTATACTTTGCAATACACTTCTGTTACACCATATGGTGACTTAAAAATAATTTAGCTGTACGTTTACACATTAAAACATAAAAAATAAAAACATGAATTAACATCATGAGAATAATGCTTGTGCTTCTTAAAGAACTATCACAAACATAAAATAGATTTTGTGTTTAGAATGCTTATGTTTCCCTTGCTGCTTTTTCGTTTATATATATATATATATATATATATATATATATATATGTATATATATATATATATATATATATATATATATGTATATATATATATATATATATATATATATGTATATATATATATATATATATATATATATATATATATATATATAAATGTAAATTTACATACGTGACTTAAATTATTAGTTACACGAGCGGTCATATTGCCCCCGTTTTATTAAGATATATTTAATTACCATTTGTATTACATTCAACAGGTACTACACACCTACCTAATTATGCAAGGAAACACATCATTAAAAGAATTAATGTTCAGGACTAAATATACAGCACAGACTTGAATCCTTGTTTACACTAACGGTCATATTACCCCGGTTTTATTTAGATCTATTTAAATAGCATTGTATTACAGTGAATAGGTACAATTATCCGACCTATGGGATGGCGTGGCTTAGCGGTAGAGCGCTACACTACTAACGTAAAAGACTCGAATAGTCGAATGCGGGTTTATGTCAATGGGACGTCCCTGAGTCTACCCAGCTATGATGGGTACCTAATTCACGTTAGGGAAAGTAAAGGCGGCTGGGCACAGAGCTGACCATACTATCTTATCATAAGCCGAGGTCATGAAATACATAAACTCTGCTTCATCTACCCAATGAATCGCTAGTTATAAAGACTATTTCGTTACTTAAATTAAAAACCTACCTAACTATGCAGAGGCAACACAATGTCCCCACAATTAGTAAGAGCAGAAAGTAGTACCCAATCGCTGATGAAGCGACATCGAATTCTAAAAAAAAAAACAAATATACCACATCTGTTATTTTTATGAAAAAAACATGCACGTATAAACACAGTCTAGTACTACACATACAGGACACCAACACATAAGTTTCAGTGTAAAAATTTACAACATGCACATACAAACACAGTCTAGTACTACAAATACAGGACACCAACACATAAGTTTCAGTGTAAAAAAAAAAACTTACTTGATGGACAAACTCCATGTATTTTATCCACGCAATCTTTCCCATTACATTTCTCCTTGCACGAGTATTTACATAGATGACCGAATGTCATTTCGGGGCATGCTGCAAAACATTATATGATGTTGTTTTTTCACGCTGTTGATTTCTTTCATTCAAGACTATGTTGCTTTTAATAACTTTAGATATCACCACATTAATATATTTTTCGGCAAGGTCAACTGTAAAGAATCTAACTTGCTTAATAGAACCATATATTATTGAAAGATATACATTGGATTGATTATAATTTGCTATCGTTTGAAAAACGTACATTTCGTAGAAACTGAACTAATTTTTGTTTTTCTTTTCAGACTGAGTTTTGAATACAGTATTACGATCCAGCTCAAAACTCCGCGAATCGGTTTAAAAATAAATAAAATAAAAAAATATCAAACTGAACTAAAAATACGCTGCTGCTATTATTAATTCTTGGGTTATACGTACGTGTTGAACATGTATGCCCAACGTAACCAGGAGAGCACAGCGGGCACCGTCCTGTGTTAGTATTACAATGAACGGCACAGTGGCCACATTCATAAGCACACATCGTTCCAAAATATCCTCGAGGACAAAGCTCTTATCAACAATTTTTGAGAAACAAAATTAATACCATAGCTTTCGTAGATTAAACATGCATACTGTTATCTTTTTATACGTTATACAATAATCTTAAACATCACTTGACAAAGACATATTATTATTAATTAAGATAGTTAAATCTACTTTCGTTTTCGTAGTGGTAAGTTAGTGTAAAGATATGTAATTAAAAGCGTAATAAAAAACCGTGTTTCATTGCATTTAAGCTTTAATCTGTATGATGTCGCTAACTGGTCAAGCGATAACTATAGTATGTGGTAACGAATACGTGTATTTACTTGATCAGATGAAGAATCAGTATTTACCATTGCCAGTGAATCTACATTTCTCATTTCGACTCTCTTCACTATGCCCTGCACACCCCATCCCCTCAGGCGTAGGTTCGGGCTTGTCACAAGTACGACTGCAACCAAAAGTTTCAGTCTCCACATAATTTAATGAAGTCGACGTGTATTATAAGTTAACAAGGAACAACACGTACTTTTCATATTTAGAACAGGCCACAGTTGAAAGATTATGTTTAGAAAACTACACGCTGCTCCAAGAAAAACTTGCCCTTTCTGTCATGGCTTAAGGGAACACAAGTCAAGTCATACATGACTGCAGGATGGACAATTATGCCTTCTAGACTCTATGCCACAAAACAACGCGCTCTGAAAAACACTGGAGGATGGCGTGTTAGGGTGGTTAAGCAAATGGTTGATTAACCAAAAAGTCCCGAGTTTGAACCCCCGGTATCAACAGCTGGGGATAGCAACATATCTAGAAGAGACATCTCCATAATCAAACAACCTCTGCCTTGTGGTTCGTTCAAAGGCTATAGAAACAAATTCAAAAAAGAAAAGTCAACAGTATATGTGGTGCATAACCAGTTGACACAGGAATACTAAATTGTGTTGGAGGGAATCCTTTCAAAAAATTACAATTAAGAAAGAAGAAAAAAAACATTGTATAGGGAGCTTGCAACTCTGGTTTTACTGTATGATTCCTCCGGTATAAATATTATTAAGAGCGAGGACAAAGAAGAATAAGACAAAATTAAATCTAATAACTCATTTAAATGAATCTGAAGTAAAGACCAATTGTCGGTTCTCATCAGAACATTGTTTGTATGTGAAAATTGCTATTTATTATCACCCAATACACCTACTTAGACTTATGTCGTTAACTTATGCACACGTTATATTAATTCAGTGTGAAAAAAATCGTTTTCACAATTATTTTTTTTTTGGATGTTGTGTCTTCTCCACCTCGGCTATTGATTGATGTATCAGATAAGAAAAATATTAATCACTACCTTTTTTTCATGTGTGCATGTTGCTATTGATGTAAGGCCCCTCAACCCCCAACCGTTAGTGATAGCTTTAATCTGTGTATTCGTCATAGTGTTAACCCCTTCCTATAAATACAATTTAACTTTATCATCAATTGAACGACCACAAGTTATTTTTATCAGTGAATTTTGTTTTCCCTAGTCATTCCTATAAATTGTTTCAGTCCTTGCATCCTCTTCTAGCAATATATATATATATATATATATATATATATATATATATATATATATATATATATATATATATATATATACATGTATGTGTACTTTATCGTAACAACATCAAGCCTTATATTGCCATTAATATTTAGTATGTGCAGTAATATGATTACCTTCGCTTTTCAAAGAACTCCTCCGTCGGGTAATTGCAGCTGAATTCTGACCATTGACCCCATCCGCCGTCCTCTAAAATACAGTAATATAGTGGCAACATTGTTAACATTACATCCATTTAAATCAGTGTTTCATTCGTGGGTCGGTGGAGTACCACTCCAGAAGCATGTCTACTGCCCCAAAGCCCCGAACGAGATAGAATTATATTTAGACAATATATACTTTTGAAAATGTCAGAAACCCCCCCCCCCCACCCCGCCCCCCTCCACCCGCAAAAATTTAGTTCTATCCCCCTGACCCTGAAGATTTTAAGTGCCCCCGGGGAAATGTCTGAAAGAAACACTGATTTAAATCATACAAAGAAGCTGTTTATAAAATAACATCGGGTGCAAATGTTTGTAAGTTTACAATTTAAACTCGATAAGCGTTGATACATCTTTTATAATTACAAATGGATCAAATTTGTTCTACTGTGTTTGACATTTATAACTAATTATAAGCTTAACCCTCAGCCGAATTTTATTCCTAGCTAAAATAAGAGTTTTGACATATAAGTATTCCTTCTCATCGTACCTACATTGTAAGCATGAAGTTGTGTAGTTTTTATTTACTTTAGGCTTTACCAAAAAAAAAGCAGGTGTTGTAGCAATCTCCCAGGGCCCTAATTAATTTCGCGTCAGAGAGAGTTTATATGAAGCAACGAACTGTGATTTACTCCAAATTATAATCAGATGTTAATCTGATTTATATTAAATACATCGTCAAAATGTACTTAGTTCTATGTTGAACCACAATTAAGTACCAGATTTTTCCTTTTGTAGATCTTCCCCTATCCTCATATCGTTATCCAGGTCTTGGTCTGTAATAAAAATATAACGAAATGATTCTCCGCTTTACTTGATAACACTTAGGTATGCTAATTCTAAAATTAAAAATAAAAAGAAAGGATTCTCCACTTTACTAGATAAAACTTAGGTATGCTAGTTCTAAAATAAAAAATAGAAAGAAAGGATTCTCCACTTTATTTGATAACATTTAGGTATGCTAATTCTAAAATTAAAAATACCGCAATTTTTCTTTTTTTGATAATGATGCAAATTATAATTTTGCCTGAGATATCAATATATGCATTTAATCTTTGGACGTAAATTAAACTTGGTGAATATTTCTAAAATAGCAAGCTCCTAATAAATGACCACCCTAGATAGTTTTGTTGCCTCATGTGTTAAAATATGAATCAGTCTAATTAACGTACTAATAACAAGATGTATGTTCAAGTTAGCAAAATACTCAAAAAAAAAACAATTAAATCTCGGGTCGAAACTACCAAAAGATGAGCTTATTAGAGGATTCTAATCGCCCCCTTCCCCCCCCCCCCCCCCCAAAAAAAAAACAATTCTATCACCCCGCCCCCACCCCTAGCCGAACTTAATAGAATTTTAAAAGAAAATATTTACCTTTACCAGTGTCCGCCCACCTCGGAAAATATAGTCCTCCCCCAGGTAATATCAAGTACCCCCCCTCCCGCCGGAGAAAAAAGTCTGGAAGAAACACTGTTTTCGGCCAGAGCTAAGTTGAGCACTAAATTTTAAATTTTATACCGTAGCATAATAATTTATTTGAGGAACTATCCTGGGTGTGGAATTAACCCGTGTGTGGAACTGCCCCAAGTGTGGAATTAACCTGGGTTTGGAACTGCCCCAAGTGTGGAATTAACCCGGGTGTGGAACTGCCCCAGGTGTGGAATTACTCCGGGTCGCCCTACCTACGAGATCTTCGTCGAGGAGCCCATCACAATCGTTGTCTACCAAGTCTCCAGGAAGCATAGCTCCAAGATCAGTTGTACAATCCCCACTCTAGATCAGTGAAATATACCATTTGTGAAAGTGGGTTTACTAACACAATCTTAGTTAAATACTGTTGACCTACACATAGCCAATATACATTTTCTCACCTATGATATTGAAATTCAAATGCGTTACAATATGAAAAAAAACACCGAATATTCCATTATATATTACGGCTGAAAACGTAACAATTAGAAACATTTGAGAAGTAAGTTTAATTAGATCTAGTGTTTGGACAAGGATTGACACGATTGTAGAAAAATAAATCATATTTTAATTTAATTTATTCACTAACATTGCCAACGTACACAATATGATTAGAACAAATATGGGATCTTGTCCAGTAATGGAAAAAGTGTACGGGTGAAAAGTTAAGCCCCGCCACTTGTAACCTATTTCTGATGTCAAGACATTTGAATATTTAAACGCACGTAATAGAAACTACTTCTCATACGCTTCTAGGGTTAAGGTTAGGGCTAGGTTTTGGGTTAGGGGTTAAGTGTCAAGTTTTATGCAACGTGTTAAGTATTACGTGTTAAGGGTTACGTGTTAATGGTTTAGGGCTAAAGTTTAAGGGTTGAGGGTTGAGGTTGGTGTAAGGGATTAGGGTTAAATATACCAAAATATAGATTTTTCATGCAAATGGGGTTTGGGGTATGGGTTAGGGGTTAAGGGTTAGATGTTAGGGGATTGGGGATTGGGGTTAATTGTTAAGTGTTGTGTTACGTGTTAAGGGTTACGTGTTAAGGGTTAATGGTTAGGGAATAAGGGTTGAGTTTGGTGTAAGGGATTAGGGTAAAATGTAACAAAATATCGATCTTTTCATGCAAAGTATTAATGGCATATCCCAAATTCAACCCCTGCAATAAAATCTTAAAGTACAAGTTTCTTATACTTTTTTTAATAAACTTTTTGGGAAGGCGGGTGTTAACATTCTTGGCGGGGCTTTTCTGGATATTATTCTAAAAACTTGATACTTTTACAATGCGAATAATACGTTTGTGAATCTATAAAAACGGTAGATAATTTTGAGAAAGTATAGAAAACTATTCCTGTTTAATCAATGATTGTTTCATTTTAAATCATAACAGACTTTACATTTTTTACCTACAAAAAATAGAGATATTTAAGCATGTAACTCTGTAAGCAATATTTAATACCATACGAACTAAATACGTACAGTTTTACGGATTGCATAACCAGCAGCGTGTAAGAAGGTGCCGCCGTCTTTCCACCCATACAGGTAAAGGCCGAAAGGATAGTGAATTGTGGAGGAAGCCGTATGCGAGCCTGGTGAGATTTTCAAATATCGCACTTGATAGGAAGTTGTACTCACATCTGACACCAAAGCTCTAAACAAAAAAAAACATATCCTTATTGTAAAGAAAATAGTATCGGGCACTAAAGATCTTAACAAAAACTTATCTTTGTTATAAATAAAATTATCTTTTGTCACTATATTTTTTTAAAAACTTTTTTTCAACAACTGATCTTTTAATTATTAAGTTAAAAAGTAAAGTTTTTAAAGTTTACTTTAAGACATACTCTTAATTAGACAAAGTTATATAAGTTAAAACCATAACAAATTGGTCAATTTATACAACAACTCAGCCGTTTAATCTACTGCTTGACATATTTTGTCTCGGCAGCCACGAAACAACATTTCCAGGGTTTGGCATCTGTTGTTTCATGATAACCGCGCAAGATATATAAACTTAATCCTAGTTTGCATTTGTTTTGTTTTAAAATTCCACAGGAAAAAAAGACAAAAATAAGTTTTGTTTTTTTTTTTATTTTTTTTTTTAAACACGTTGTTTAGTTACTAAAAGAAAAAGTACCGCAAAATTACACTTAAAAGCTTTTCGAACCAATTATGTTGAGATAGCTTCTCCTCTTGAGTGTATTACGAGTAGCGGTGTCCTAAAAATGTTCTCTCACTTTTCAGCAAAAACTAATATAGCTGTCACAGATTTTATATTATGGATACATCTGTGATTGTAAGTTACTTTAAAGTATAATCCCAAATTTAAATGTTCATAGATTTATTTACACAAAATGTAATAAATAGATTGAAATATAATACAACACCGCAGTGGGACGTGTTGATAACTGATAGAGGAAAAACCACCAATAGAGCACAGCGAATATAATTGACAATATGTAACGGACATAATGGTGTTTTAACCTCAGCCTCAGCTCAGTTGGCACATTGTTACTCTGCTTTCATTTCTTGCATACCAGGACAAATCAACACAGCCATGTGTACAAAATCGTGTATAAACTATCTGATATTTTGTTCACTATTATCTTCAGAAAGCTACGGGCCAATAAGTTTCAGTCCCAACATAAACTACACTGAACTAAGATATTCTACGGTCAAATAAGGTTCAATCTTTGAATAAACTACACTGAACTAAGATATTCTACGGTCAAATAAGGTTCAATCTTTGAATAAACTACACTGAACTAAGATATTCTACGGTCAAATAAGGTTCAATCTTTGAATAAACTACACTGAACTAAGATATTCTACGGTCAAATAAGGTTCAATCTTTGAATAAACTACACTGAACTAAGATATTCTACGGTCAAATAAGATTCAATCTTTGAATAAACTACACTAAACAAAGATATTGAACGGTCAAATTAGGTTCAATCCAAACAGAAATTACACTAAAGTAAGATAGGTTATAATGTAAATCTCAAGACTGACCTGTAGTTAAGAGCGTGCTTGCCGTCAACTAAAAGACTTGTATATTTATCTTTATCTGCCACTAAAATAGCATAGGCTCTCATCTGGCTAGCTGTCGAGTTGTAAGGAAAGGGCACGCTGAGGAGCGAAGGTAAACACACGTTATATCTTGGGAAATAAATTATCCGGTAATGTTTGTTGAGTTTTGTAAACATTCGTTACTGTAAACCATAGTTTATTTGACAATTGAAATATAATTAGTCAGGTGCATTACATTAATGTTTTAACTAAATTTAAAGTTAAATTGACAAAAAAATTAGCAACAGTTAGTAGAGCTAGATCTAAATATTAATAATAAAGTCGAGTGTAGTAATTAATGTATTTTAAGAAATACAGAAAAAAACTTGCAAAAGATTTGCGACAACTAGATTTTAAATCTAGATCTAGTCAAATAAGATGATTAGATCTACTCATGGGGGGGGGGGGGGGGGGGGGCATTTTTTTCCCGCATTATAAATGTATATATCAGAGGCCCCCGAGGACAAACTTTTGATTTGCAACCCCCCCCCCCCCCCCCCCGCAAACTTTTGATTTCCACCCCCCGCTCAACCTTTATGTATCTACCGAGTCGTCTATGGGGGGGGGGGGGAGGGGGGTTCTGACCCCCCTAACCCCCCTGCCTACGCCACTGGATCTACTAAATTCTAAAGTAGTAGAATGATAAGAACAATGTTTAGTAGCAGCAATAATTAGCACATACTCTTAAATAATTAGAAATACAAAATAATTAGAAAAACAGTGTTTATTTCCAGACAGCTGTCCCTCTAAACACCTTGACCACACTTACGAGACATAAATTTATCTACCTGATGTATGTTTAGATTTACAAATTGTACATATTAATTTACCGACGATCTCCTAATCTATATTTTATATTGGATTTAACGTTAAATACGATTGGGATTGGGTAACTATTTGTGTCATGGTTTTATTTTTTTCTAACCAAATATAATTAAACAACTTTAGGGAATGCATTGTGAAACTAAAATACGTTGCGCTTAATTGCTTGTTAAAACTGACTTTAAACAACTAATCAAAACGATAACATTTCATAAGGATTTAACACACAACTCTTCTACAAACAGTGAGTAAAGTATAACTGACCAAACCACTGACCTGAACACGTAGCTAAAGTAGAATAATTCAACAGGAACCAGCCAAGCTAAAGCCATGCTTGACGTACAATCCTTGCCCTTGCTCAGATAGTAGCAAACAATAAGTCCGTCAGCTTTTACGTGCAACGGGTAGTCAAAATTTATGGTGATCTGAAAATTAAATGCATAGTAATATAGCACAGCCCACCTATCGCATTATACTACTCTAATAGTTTACACAGTATGATGAATTAGAACTGTTTTATGTCGTCAATCCTACAACTTAAGGCATTATGTAATTATTTTAATTTTTGTAACAATGAACTAAATATTACTAATCAAAGGCTTACTTTTTTTTTCACATTTCAATTGAAATGCATGAACAAACAAAATGGAAACTTGTAAAACGTTAATTTGAATACAAAATTATTAAAACTCAACTATTTTGTCATCTTTAAAAAAAAAAAAAAAAAAAAAAAAAGAAATCACTACCAATCGTTAACAAAATTTCGAATTTAATTTTGAGGTAAAAATAATATATTAATCTACTAGGCAAAACCAAGTATTAAAAAAACTCACTGTCTTTTAATAGAACCTAAAAATAGTTAATTTTTACCAAAAAATATAATAACTTTACGTATGCTAGAGGCTACAAACCGAACACATCATCCCATTAGGGAGCAAACATACATCACACATTAATTCAGGTTACGTTGGACAAACCAAACAAGCACAATCTTTAGTGCAGCGGTTCTTATAATTTCTTTTAAAGTCCCAGACCCTACAAGTTTTTAATGCGCTTACACCGAAACCTTAATATTCATAGTATCCCAGCTGACAAATTCCAATCATAAGTCATATGCGTCGGGTGTGTGGAAAACAGATTACCAGAGACTAACTCGCCGAACCTCTGGGGCTCAATCAAACCCAAGTTTAGAACCACTGCTTTATAGTTTCCTAGGTTAATTAAGCGCATCCGTTATAAAATACTAAAAATACTCTAAGGAGCATTTCAATAGACTTTTTTTTTAATTGTGCATTTGTTTAAAAATTGTAATAAAATCACGTATTAGTTATAAAGAAACACACATACACACATACAAACACACACATATTATATATATATATATAATTTAATTATACATTACCGTTCTATGATAACTTTTACTCAAAAAAAAAGTTTCTTCTTTGTTGATTGTAACACATGTTTCTGGAGCTTCCATAGTTGCAATAATTAGCTCATCGTTGATAAATGGCCAATCAGACGTCGACATCTTGAGTCTACTAAAGACGACAAATTCCACCGATTTAAGATGTGTGACGAAATCTATGCTCTCTGCGATAACAAAACAATAAAAATTGTTTATTGTTTCTTTTCATAAAACTATTTTTATTTTAAAACAAGTGTTAAACTAACATAGATCAGCTACCATATAGAATAACGGGCTATATTCATTATATAAATGCACTGTCGCTCTTTGATTATCTTCTTTAATATATATTTATATATATATATATATATATATATATATATATATATATATATATATATATATATATATATATATATATATATATATATATAATAGCCGTCCCGGCCAGGCCCTGCACTGACCTCTGTAAATAACCTAAATTTAATGGATCATAACTTAAGTGCTTCTTGAGCAGCATATATTTATAAATTGCCCCGGCTAAGGAAATATATATTACTTTTCGAATTAACGCTAACTACAACCAACCAAAACAAAAACACAAAAGAACACAAACAAAAACAAAAAAAACCCAAAAAATGAACAGTTAAAAGCGAACAGAAACATAAAATTAAATGCAAAATGGATAGCCAAGGGTGCCAAATCACGTTCTGCTGGGGCGCCAGCGACGCGACTGATTCAATTTAGTGATCGACTATAATACCCCCCCCCACCCTTGTCCTCAAACCGAAAGATGTAAGTAAACATAGACGACATTTAGGAACGGCTTCTAAACTGTTATTGATTAAAAATAATATACAGTATTAGTAATCAATACGTGTATAAAATACATAAATGCAGTATTTAAAATATCCCTGGTTTACATACCAAATTGCACTTTATCTTTCCATGCTTTTTTCTTTTGTGTTTTTGTTTGTGTGTTGCGTTTGTGTTTTCGTTTGTGTTTGTGTGTTGCGTTTGTATTTTCGTTTATGTTTGCATTGTGTTTGTTTGCATTGTGATTGAGTTTTCTTTTGTGTTAGTGTTATGTTTGTGTTGCGTTTGTTTTGCGTTTGTGTTGTGTTTGTGTTGTGTTTGTTTTGTGTTTGTGTTGTGTTTAGTATTGTTCTTTTCCCAAATTGGTACATTTAAAAAAGATTTACTATGGCGGAGCACTGGTATGCAGCTAATATATATATCAAGATTTAAAGTATACAAACCAATTAAAGGGTAATTTGTCTTATCGGTTTTGCACGTGAAATGAAATGAAGTCTCACAGGCTACAACAATAGCTCCAATCTTCTTCTTACCGTAGATGACTACTAGAAGAAATTTGTTTGGATTGCATATATATATATACATATATATATGTATATATATATATATATATATATATATATATATATATTTATATATATATATATATATATGTGGAAAGAGAGAGAGAGAGAGAGAGAGGTAACCTGAGATACGACTTTAAAAAGTTCACTAAAATAGCTCATACGTGAAAGTGCCTGTATCTTAAAGCAACTTTCTACATTGAAATTAATTGAACTGTTATCTATTCGTTTCAGTTCCAAAACACTACACCACATTTTTAATTTTTTATTTTAATTTTGTTTACTAAGAAAATTGTATTTATACGCGACATATATGTTTTTATGACATAATATTGGATAATGCAAATAAATAACCATGCTTAGTAAAGTGTATTTTCCTTGAAAATAAGCCGACATGAGCCTTAGGAAAGAAGCTATTGGATGTGTAGGGTGGAAGAGATAGGCAGACAATTCTCACTTCGTTCATATACTGATATTGCTAATTTGTTTCGTTCACTCTAATGCACTTACTTGTTGCACTCTAGATTCTACACATTATCTCTAACTTTCACGGAAAACACACTTCATAAGTGAACTTAATGTTACTATATAATGTTGTGTTAACCTTCGCTTAATTTATGTCGTTATTTTTCTCTTTGCTAATTTTAGTTTTTTTCGCCACACTCTATTCCTGTACTTCTCTCGTGGGGCACTTGTATTTCAAGATACCAAAAAAAACCCAGTAAATTTAATATTTGCTTCCTTGATTTACTTTATAAGTCCTAAAATGTAATGTAATGCTATATGTCTAAATATAAATCTTAAACTTAAATGTATATTTTGTGAAAACAGAACTGATATTTTCCGGAATAAAATGTGTAAAAAAGTATTACCTTAACTGGTTTAGCAAGGTTATATACATATATTTAAAACAAAATATGATGTTGATTTTCTTAAACTAAGACAAATAGAGGGTTTTAGCTATTGAAGAAAATGTTAATGGAATACAATCTTTATATATCCATTAGCAACCAGATATTGTTAAGGCCTAAAGGTATTAGCAATCGGGACTAGGAATTTGTGAATAAAATGCTGTGGAACTTAAAAAAATAAAACGAACATCACATGTTTATTTAACAACATAATATATTTTGTTTTAAATGGATACTTACCTCCCCCATCAAAGTATTCTTTTTCATAAGTCAACAAACCACAGAGATAGTTACTGAAAATCGTATAATCTCCCCTGTGGGGTATTTAATATAACAAATCTTAGCAGCCAATCAGAGAATTAAAAACTAAATATAGGCTAACCGTACAAAGAATTTTTATTTTATTTTATAAAACAGGTTTATATTCTATCAGTTCTGAGACTATTCCTGTCTTCAGTCTGAGCTAAATTAATGTAAAATGTAGTGGTGGTTTTTATTTATTTTGGCATTTGTAAGGTTGCAAATTATTGATACAATGTAATGTTTACGCTGAAAATTTAAATTTTAAGACCATTTGTACATAAAACAAAACTCACTGGTTGAGCTTTGCAGACGGATAATATGGTTTTAAATATTCATCAATTTGTTTTTCATATCCGTATACGTAGATATGATTATCATCATGGGCGGACATTACAATTACTTGTCTTGCGTATTTTCTGATGTGAGAATACATACAATCTACATACATAAATACCCATAAACCATATATATATATATATAATTATAATTATATATATATATATATAATTATAATTATATATATATAATTATATATATAATTATATATATATATATATCTATTATATATATATATATATATATATATATATATATATATATATATATATAATATAAGCGGGCTGTGCTTGTCCTTCCTTCCTTCCGTCCGTCCGTCCGTCCGTCATCGCTATAGATTTTGGGACTGTAAAAGTAAACTACGCACCATGCTGTGCTTTTCAGTGCACCGCAGTGTCTTATTATAAGTATTAGAGTAGGGTTTGTTTATATAGCGGCATAGAGCTATTTTATAATTTCCACTGTTTGTACAATTTTGCATAACGTAAAGAGAATATTAAATACACGCACATTGCTAAAACATATTAAAAGGATCAATGTCAAATATAGTTTTCTTTAATATTCCTAGAAAAAGTGGATACATTTTAATAACATAATAACTGTAGGTTAGAAAAATCTAATAAAACTGTTTAGTAATTTTGCCAAGGGAGGTATTTTACAAATAAATTGAACTCACGCTAAAAATGTGAATGCAGAATCTGCAAGAAGGAATAATTGTTGGAATAATATAATTAGCAAAATGTGAATGCAAATTATGCAGACGTGTAAGAGTACATTATTGTTGGAATATTATAATTAGCATTGATTGATAAAAGGCTATTTTTTATTTATTTTATTCACTGAATGTAATGTTTACTACTTATAATTTTTAATCAACTATTAAGCACTATTATAGACGCGTCATCACGTTCATTTGGTGCGAAATGGTTTTAGTTATGAAACTCTATTGTAAATTTTTAAAATTTAAAGTACTGGGAAAAAAATGCGTGAATTGATAAAGTGATATAATATGGTAGGTAAAACACGGATATTTTAAATACTGCTGGGGGTTTTATAGGAGAGGCGTAGAGAGGGGGGGAACATATGTCCCCGGTTGCCGACCTAAGGGGGCGCCAAAGTGGGTTAAAAAAATGTGCGGGGGGGGGGGGTGGAAATCGGAAGTTTGAGGGCGGTGGGAGGGTGCAAATCGTAAGTTTGAGGGGGGGGGGGGGGGGTCAAATTGAAAGTTTTTCCCCGGGCGCCGGAAAGGGTCGCTACGCCTCTGTTTTATAGTCATTCACTGTGTCAGACGCGTCCGGCGCCGCTCGGGAAGGGCGCGATTTGGCGCTACGGGCTAGACTGTGAACAATATGCCTTTATGATTGAATTTAAATTGTGTTTATGTTATGAGTGTTGTGTTTGTTTTTTCGTTGTTTTTTTTTTGCGTTCGTTTGTGTTGTGTTTAGTTTTGTTCTGTTCCCAAGTTGGTACATTTAAAAAAGATTTACCGTGGCGGAGCACGGGATGCAGCTAGTATATATATATATATATATATATATATATATATATATATATATATATATATATATATATATATTTATATGTATATATATACATATATATATATATATATATATATATATATATATATATATATATATATATATATATATATATATACAAATATTTAAATATTATATATATTTATATTAATAACATGCAATAAATCTATTCAAAATAAATCATACATAAAAATAACTTATTAGATATTATATAAGAATTGTATACCTAAAAACCCTTTTCACATAAAAAAAAAACAACAACTGAAGATATACAACTGCAAATATTCAGCTTTTGTATGGATTATACGTGCAGGAAAAAAAAGAAGTAACCTGCAGAATAATTGTATTGATAAATGTATTTACCCGAACCAGGGGAGGTATTGATAATAACGGAACATCGAATAGGGTAGAGCCAGCATGGAATCCATCCAGTAGCCAGTTTGTTTATCAACCAACACAACCGTTATACCAAATACATTTCTTCCGTTTGGACTTTCAAAAGTAATTGACGAGTAAAATTCACTGCTTCTTTAATAAATAAAAAAAAATGCGGATATATATATATATATATATATATATATATATATATATATATATATATATTAAATATAAATATTATTAGTTATTAGCACAACGACATTGACTATTAAGAAATTAATACAAATGTATAGATACAAGTTTTATAATAAGTTCAATATATGTTTTAAATATCTAAATGATTTTATAATTACAACAGAAATAAAAATAGGTAGTAACAATTTCATACTTCTGGCCATCTAACGAAATGAGCATTTATGAACTATTTTATGATCCCTATTTTCAAAATTTTGATTCTTAACAGGGCGTCCTTCAATAAGCTTCTATTTCATTAAAATAAAATGCAGTTAAAATATTTTTTTACAACGGTTATATTTGGGGTCGCTACCAGAGTCAGATGATTTTAGAATCAGCATATACACGGAAAAAATATTTCCAACTATATATTCTTGTTATGTAGAACCAATGCTATAGTAACAACTTTAAGAAATGTTAAGATAACATAAAACGCTTTTAATTAAAAATAAATATCAAGAGCATACATTTTTCTGCTATGTTTTCAATTTTTTTATTAACATCATTATTTTTTTGTAAATCAAGTGTCTATTGAACTTGGGTGCTGCGATAACAATAATATTAATATTAATTTAAAATAACAATATTAATGTTACTTTATTATTATTATTATTGTTATTATTATTATTATTATTATTATTATTATTATTATTATTATTATTATTATTTTTTTTTTTTTTTTTTAATTATTTTTATTATTATCTATATACTACTAAAAGTCAAGTTTGTTTACATGTTTGAATATTTATTTGTTTGCCTGATCGACTATCTCGCATGGTTGCACTCATCGTGGAAAGCTGTAAAATAGTATGTAGGTAGAGAAAAAATTTTGTTTTAAGACAGACTGTTAATCACAAATTTATTTAAAGACGTTAATTAATTTATTGATTTATTCATAGTTAAATTAACCGTATTTTTTTAAAAATGTTAATACCATGAATAAACTTTGTGGGGATAGTGACGTCCCTTGATAGTGACGTCAGAGTTTTTTGTTGACTCTTTAGTACAATAAAATGGCGGCGTCTATCGAAGAAAATTGTGTTCCCATTCCAAAGTTTAACGCGTTCTAAATCTAATTTTCTGTCGGTCATAACTTTAACAATACGTCCGTTTGCTGTATTTATTACGTTCCAACACTTATATCAATTTTCAACTGTCTTTTTTCATTTAGTTTTACAATAAATTTCTCTAGATCTAAAGATCAGCTGTCGAAGGAAATTTATGAATCTAGCCTAGATCTAGATCACTAAACTCAATGTAAATTCTAAATCTAGACTTAATGTAAATTCTACATCTAGAATCTATTTCAGGCCTTAATACATCTAGAATCTATTTCAGGCCTTAATTATTTTATATAAATCTTTGTTTGGCTAATTTAAGATAAAATTTAATTTGAAAGTTACTACTTCTAGACTAGACGCTCGAAATCAAGTTGCATCAAAGTATAGTATAAAAATTCACTTGTGACGTCACGAGTAAATAGCTAAGTTTGTAGCGTAGTCCGCTCTCATGCGAGTGGTACAGGTTCTAGACCAATATGTCAATGATGTTTTTTTTTCAATTTTTTTTTTTTTAGATGTTAATGATAAAAAATGATATTTTTTTTCAATTTTTTTTTTTTTAGATGTTAATGATAAAGTTGCCTATCTGAACTTGGCAGGATACAGGGCAGGTGAAGTAGAGTTCATCTGTTTCTTTGTCCTAACCATATGAAAGGATAGTGTGGTCAGAGACATGCTCGGCTGGAATCGTTTTTTTAAACGATAAAAACATGTTGTCTGAGACTTGGCGGGACACTGGGCAGGTGAAGTAGAGTTGAGTAGGTCACATGTGACGTCAGTATATGAAGGGATAGTCCGAAATCGGTGTTTTCGGTGTTTTTAAAAGATAAGAAACATATTTTTGAATGTGGGCTCTGTTTTTGTGACGATAAGTGACACTGCAGTAGCGTAGCGAGGAGGGGGGGGGGGGGGAAGGGGGAGGCTGGGGGGGGGGAAGGGGAGGCGGGGGGGGGAAGGGGAGGCGGGGGGGAAAGGGGAGGCGGGGAAGGGGAGGCGGGGGGAGGTGAAGGGGGGGGGCGGGGGGGACGTATGTTGGGGCGCCAAAATGGTTTGGAAAAATAAATTGAAAGGTTGAGGGGGGTTCAAATCGAAAGTTTGAGTGGGGGGGGGGGAGGGGGTGCACATCAAAAGTTTGAGGGGGGGGGGGGGTTGAAAATCGAATTCTTGGGGGGGGGGGGGGGGTTAAAATCGAAAAGTTTGTCCCCGGGCGCCGGGAAGGCTCGCTATGCCTCTGAGTGTCAGACGTGATGTTTTTTGATGGATGACCCCCGAAACCCACAGTTATCCAAGGGATGACGGGTATTCTAGTTATTAATAATAATCATATTGATGAGTAGGCCTATGTTATAATGGGTGTTAAGATATGAATGTCAAGTATTTTTTTTCTTACTTTCTAAGTTTTCAAAAATAATGACTATAATTATTCATTTTTCGAAACTAAGAGTAAGAAAAGTCACTATTATTTAGCGTCACACTTATCTTACAGTTGCTATAATGCTTCTTTCCTTCATACGAAACTTAGTGAAAATTAGCATTTAACGGCCCATTATGTGGATTCAGTAAGGGCTAAGGGTTTGATCAGATTTTTTTTTGCACGATTACAAGACTTTCTCTATACTTCGAATATACGAGTATGTAAAAAAAAGAGATAAGCTACTGATATTCATTAGATGTATGTGTGATGTCAATGACTTACACCTTAAAACAACTATTAAATACAACTGTAACGGTACAAGATTAATTTTTTTTTTATTTAACAGATTTAAAACTTTACAAGGGGAATTTGTGAACAATATATAATTTTAGCACTGATTGGCGAAACAGTTTCATAGGTAGCGAACTCCAAATTTTAGTATAGTCATCCTACATATCTTTTATTTAAATGTATCAATGCTAAAATATAACAGAAAAGACATAGACATAAACATAAACATACAAATGCACAAGCACAAGCACAATCACATGCGCAT